CCCCAGTGGGTGGGCGCCTGGGGTGTGTCTCTTGTCCCGTCCAATGAGTACCAATGTATGATGATAGCTAAGGCCTGGATGACAAGTTGCTTCAGAAAGTGAAAGCCACTGGGAGCCAGAGTCCAGAGGGCAGGGTGCTTGCCTCTGGTTCAATCCTTGATACCGTAAATGATTCTCTAAGCTGCCAGGAGTGATCCTGAAGCACAGAGCCAAGAGTAAGCCCTGAGCAAAGCTGGGTGTGGCCCCCAAACAAAACAAACCACCCCCAAACAGGAAATGAAAGCAATACTGGTCTGGACAGAAGGCAAAGCCTGGGCCAGTTCCAGGTAAGTGATAGGCAGAAGCGGGTGGCTGCTCTTACTTTCCAGAGCCCAGGCACACTTCCTTGTGTGTTTCTAAAACACGCACATGCACACACAGGTACATGCATGCACAAAAACATAAGAGCACAAACGTACCTGTTAACATGTGTGCAGACACACATGCATATATGAGCACATGCACAAACTAATGGTGCACATGTGAGCACACACATGCATATGAGTGCACATGTGCATGCCTGTGCACATGCTATCACAAATGTGCACAGATGCACACACACACCAGCACACTTGTCTCAGGGACCTCTCGTTGCCCCAGCCTGTAACAGATCCTGCTGAAATGTGCAGTTTCTCTTGCACCAGAGGCCTGGTGCCCTCATATACACGCCTTGCCCCACTCTCTGCCCAGTCCCTCACACCAAGGTGCCCATGGGCATGGGTCTCAGAGCGGCCAGTCACTGGGCAGGGGTGAGGGATGAACAGTGGCTTCTCCCCTCAGTCCACTCACCTCGATTTATGTGTTTGGAAACTTTGCTGGGGTTAAAGTCTGCACTGCAGCTCCACACCCGGCTACCTGGTCAGTGGCACAGGCTGATCTCTCTTGTCTTCACGGCAGGTCCATTCTGTAAGTGACTGCTTGGGACACAGGGTTCTACTGAGGACAGAGACCTGACTAGCCTGTGCATGTCCAGCCTGTGGGTCGTCGGAGCTTTCCTATGACCCTAAGACCCAAGCACAAATGTCCCAACATGAGTCACCATGGTTTGCGGGGGGAGGGCTGCTTGTGCCCAGACCAAGAACCACAAGAACTGGAACAATTTTTTTGGTGGAGGAGTGTTTTGGGTCACATGTGGTGTTACTTCTGGTTCTGTCCTCAGGAATTACTCCTGGCAGTGCTTGGGGGATCATACAAGATGCTGGTAATCAAATCTACGTTGGCTGTGTGCAAGGCAAATGCCCCACACACTGTACTATTGCTCTGGCTCCTGGAATACTTTCCTGGGGTGTGGGATCCATTAGTTCCTCCCTGAGACACCAGCATGTGCTTCTGGAGCTCTTAGAAGGAGGACAAAGTTTCTAGAAGGAGCAACTGCCCTAGGAGACATGAAGGGCAGAGCAGATGGGACCTGGTGGGCCTGGGGTGGGGCAGACTTTGTTGTCAGCCATTCCCGGCAGCTGAACCCCAAAATGCTGGTAGCTGATTTCTTCTGTGGCATTAGAAATAGATGCTTCTAGAAACCCAGACTAATCATTGGCAGGCCAGGCTGCAGGGCTCTGGCTGAGGAACTTGCAGTTTCTTTAGTTTTTCCTGTTTTACACCCTAATTCCTTCAATGAGTGCACAGTTAAATGCCCAAGGAAAAAGGGGTCTTTTAGCTGGAGATGAGGAAGGCACTTTAGGGCACCAGGCACCCCCCCAGAACTGGGCACTCGGGGACTGAGTAGGGCTTAGAATGCTGCAACCGTGTTCTTGGAACAGTTGCTTCGGTCAGGTCATCAGAAATGAAAGTGAAGCTCTTGTTTTGTTAGAAAACAGAGAAGGGGGCGGGGCCTGCCTGTGGAGGTTTAGATGGTACCACTCAGTACCCCAAGTACCCGGTTGACCCCAACCAAAAAGAAGTATCTTTTTAAATAAAAAGAGAAAAATCAAGTGAAAATATACCATCAGCTTCCGGGGGTGGGGTAGGGTGAGCCCCCAGGAAGGTGACACATGGGAGACCTGGACAGTCGCTCAGTGTTGGGGGGCTGGGGGCTGCAGTGTGGTGGACTCAGACCCTCTTCTCAGGGGCCAGGTTTTGCCAAAGGCCCTGGGATTTGGTGTTTTACCTGATCTGATTACCATCAGTCCCTCCCACTTGAAGACCTGATCATGGTGTATTAGATTGGGGAACCCCAGGAGACACCCTCTGATCCTTTCAGCTTTCACTGATTCTCTGGGGTGCAGGTACAATGGTCCTTCGAGGTCAGGGTGGCCGGGTGGGTAATGGGTCGGGGTGGGGTGATGAGGTGCTAGAGTGGGTGTTGGGCTGGGTGAAGGACCAGGATAATAACTCTCAGATTCCTTCCCTTCCAGGAATTATCACTGTGGCTTGGCATTTTTTCCTGGGTCCCACAGACTCCCCAGAAGCACCCAGTCCCTGGAGCATCTTTTTCCTGCCCCACCCCACACAGCTTCTGTGGCTCCCTGCTTATAGGGTCCCTGTGCCATTTTGGGGACCAGGCTACCCAATAGCATGGCCTCAGCCCTCAGCCCTGAGTCAGGAACTGGGATCAAGGTGGGCTCACAGGGTGGCAGTGCTGGGGTGCGGTCATGGGTTGTAGAGGGAGGACCCTGCCCAGCCAGCGAGCTCTTCTGGGTGTGTGGACAAGGGTGTCATATGTGTGTGCATGTGTGTGCATATGTGAACATGTGTGTACGTGAGCATGAGGAGGTATGCATTTGTGCGCACATATGCAATGTGTGTGAGCATGGATGTGTGCATGGGTGTCATGAGAATGTATGTAAATATGTGTGCAAGTTGGATATGCGTGCATGTGTGCACAGATATGTACACGTGTAAACTTGAGTGTGTGCCTGTGGCCATCAGCAATAGGGCCCTCATGACACCAGCACAGACGGGCATGGGGGCTGCTCACACTTGGCCTCTCCCTGCTGGTGTCCTTGTCCCAGCTTGTTTCATGCAAGTTTACTTTGCTCTGGCTTCAACATGAGCAGTTAAAGGGAAATAAAAAAGAAAAAAGTGGTTCCAGGGGCCGGAGTGATAGTACAGAGGGTAGGATGTTTGACTTGCACGCAGCCAACCTGAGTTTGATCCCAGCATCCCATATGGTCCCCAAGCACTGCCAGAAGTAACTCCTGAGTGCAGAGCCAGGAGTAATTCCTGAGCATAGCTGGGTGTGACGCAAAACGCCCCCCCACAAAAAAAAAAACAGCTCCAAGGTTCTGAGTGGGTAGGGTGCTTGCCTTGCATACAGGCAACCCAGGTTTGGTCCTTGGCACCCAATTTGGTTTCCTGAACTCGTCCAGGAGTGATCCCTGAGCACAGAACCAGGAGAAAACCCTGAGCATCACTGGGTGTGGTCCCCCCCAAAAAAAACCCCAAGGAACAAAAATAGTGATTCTGAACCAAAAGCATGGTATTTGCAAAGTGGGGTGTCTCACTGGAATGAGACTGGTGTGAGTGGCTCCCTCTGGTGGCCTGTGGCTAAGATGGAGGTGACATGCATGACCTGGCTCTCACTCACCCCAACTGCTTTCTTCTCAACATTTCCCTCTGCAGTTCTTTTCAAATGTGGTTTTAAGGAGAGGACCTTTCATAGGATGAGAGAAAAAAAGGCACAAAGGAGAGCAAGGGGCTGATATTTACCCTGGTGTCCATCCTGGTCACCTTCTATTTCTGATGTGGGCCTCAAGGAGGGGTTTGTCCTTGTCAGAGCAGCTTATGTCTTTAGAACCAGGGTCCTTACCATCATCCCAAACATGATCCTGACTGCCCTAGAGGCAGCTACACTCAGCCCTATACTGTAGGCTGGTGACAGCCAGGGTGCAGTGAGCACAGGCTCCCATTGTGGTGGGCAAGGAGGACAGAGGCCTTGGAAGCCACCGGCTGTGAGTAGAGCTCAGACTGGTTTATGTAGGCTCCCTACACCAGGGCTGGAGAGGCAGAGTTGGAGGAACACTGTCCCCGACCAATCCTGTTCTTCCCTTGACAAGAAAACCAGAAAGGTCCTACTAGGTCACTGTTGGCTTCCCAACCACCAGAAACCCACAGGACAGTTCTCCTGAGCACCCTGGTCTCTGGGCACAGTAAGGCTGACTTGCCTCACTTGCTGTTCTCATGACAGAGAACAGACAACACAAAGGCTGCCTGAGAAAGAGCCTGGACAAGGCTGGATGCAAAACTCCTAGAACTTTATTCAGTTAAGGTCAGCAGAACCAGAAAGTGGCTCAGAGGGACGGAGCACATGTGTGTAACTCCTGAGCACCTCACAAAACCCAAATGAATAATAAGACACACAGACAAAAAGGGCTGGAGGTGCAGTTTCCGGCAGTGCATGGACTTTGCATGTATGCAGCCCTAGTTCCTACACCAGTGCAAAAACAAAACCCCAAACTACAACAAAGTGGACAAACAACCTACTAAAAAGCCAACACTTGGGGGACCGGAGAGCAGGTACACAGCCAGCCTGGGTTCGGTCCCTGGTATTCCACATGGTCACCCGAGCACACCAAGAGTGATCCTGTAGTGCAGAGCCGGGAGTAAGCCCTGAGCATCGCTGGGTGTGGCCCAAAACTAGGGGGAGGGGAAAGCAGAAAAAAAGTGGACATCTGAAACAGGCCTCTCGTGCTGTACATCTGAGTCTCCAGCACGGCTGAGAGGGTCCTGGAGTCCCAGACAGTCCAGGCAAGCACTAAGGCAGCAGGCCGGCTTTTTGGTGACTTTCTGGGTGTGTCTATATGCCCTGCTCCCCTCAGAGCCGGGACAGTGGTAGCGTAGGGAAACAGTGTCCTTCAGTTACGGGCACAGCGTCCTTCCAGATACCGCAAACAGTCGCTGCCTGGCCTGGGCCTCCCCATCCTTTCTCCACAGGCACAAGCTGCTCCCCTGTCTATGGCAGAGGCAGCTGCCATCTGTCTTCAGGCAGCCAGGACAACTGTGGTCACAATGGCCTTAGTCCCTCAGTTCTGGGGTCCCTGAAACCAAGCACCTCCCCCAGGGTGAGGCTCTTCGAGTCCTCTGCACCAGGGCTCTGTGCTGTGGGGAAATGGTGCTTGGGGGCAGGGTGAGGGCGTTGGGGCAGTGGCCCCTTCTTCGGTCTCCTGCTGGACAGAGGGTGAGTAGGAGAGGATGGTGAATCCCTTCTTCAGCAGGGCGACATCCGCGGGGACCAGTTCCGCACTGTACCCTGAGGCGGAGCTTTCCAGAACACTCAGTTTCCACTTGTGCGCATCAAATTCCTGGGGTGTATCTTTGAGCCTCATCAAACACATCTCAGCAGGCTCAAGCAGCACAGACCAGCCACGGCCTCGGGTCCTCTGGACCCACCCTGGCTTCATCTTCCGGAAGTAGACGGACTGGCTGCAGGTCACCATGGTGAAGAGCTGCAATTCCAGCAGCCAGGACTCGGCCTCAGCAGGATCCATGACCTGGGTGGGGCCCAGTTCCAACAGCATGGACTCTCCAGGCTGATGGTCTCCTCGGAAAAACCCCAGCCAAGCAGTGGGGGAAACCGGCCAGTGTGGGCAGACCGGCAGCATGCCAAGTCTCCAGGGAAGGCCCTGGGTCCAGTCAGCGTCCTCGGGGCCCAGCTCCAGCGGGGTGGCATCCTGAGACTCCAGCTCAGTCGGCACGTAGAAGTGCTCAGGGCTCTCCTGCTCTAGGCCTGTGAGGGTGGACGCCAGGAGGCCTGAACCCCAGTCCAGCGAGTCCCCCTGTGCAGACTGCTCCCCGCCGGGCCCCATCCCCACGGCCGCTCCCGGCTCAGACCCCCCCAACTCGGGAGACCCGGGCTCCGGATCCCACTCGTTCTCGTCCCAGTCCTCCGAATCCAGCGAGTCCCTGAACTCCAGGAAGGCGGCCTTGAAGCAGGCGAAGCATACCTTCAGCTCAGCGCCGTGCTGGAACTGGTACAGCCAGAAGGCATGCAGGTAGGACACGCCCTCCCTGCACTGCCGCGCGTTCACCGGGGGGCACATGGCTCTGGCGGTGGTCTGCGGTCAAGGCAACGCAACGGGGCGGGGCGCACAGGTGAGGGGAGAGGACGAGAGCAGGAGAGCGCAGAATCCAACTTCACAGGGGGCCTGAGGTCTGGAAGGGCTGCACTTCCAGAACCTTCTTCAGCGAGCAGTCAGTCACGGGGGGTCTCCGGGAGCTAGGAAAGAAGAAACAGTGAAGGGCGAGGACAGGGGCTGGGGAAGGGCGGTGGGCGGGGCAGGTCACGGGTGGGGAGGGGCCACGGGATATGGGGGAGGGGAAGCCAGGCAGGGGGAGGGGTGGAAGGGCAGGTGTCCCCCCCCCCACCCCCGGGCCAGGGAAGGGGCTTGAGGGGCGTGGGATGGGAGAAGCCCCAGGGTAGGGGGGAAAGACACAGGATGGGCAGGGGTGGCCTCCAGGGTGGGCGAGGGGACGCAGACTGGGAAGGAGACAGGTGAAAATGGGGTCCCGAGGGGGAGGCCCGCGCAGTCCCGAGGTGGAAAGGGGAGTGGGGTGAGGGAGGCAGAGAGAGGAGGTAGAGAGACACAGGAGGGGCCGGCCGGGCCTGGCCGGGCTGGTGGCAGTTAGGGCGGGAAGGCCACGGGGTGGCCCGCCCGACGCAGCCCAACGGAACCGGATGGAAACTCACGGAACCCAGCTGACCCTCCGAGAGCCTGGAGGCCCCTGACACCCGCGGGGTCATGACGCCACTTCAGCATGTGGCCAGGCCAACATCGCCGCACTGCCGCCTTCCCTCAGCCGCCGCGGACCGCGGGCTCCGGTCACATTTGCATATAGACCCCTTCCCATGGTGCCCTGGGTACATTTGCATAGACCCCTTCCCATGGTGCCCTGGTCATATTTGCATAGGACCCTTCCCATGGTGCCCTGGGCGTATTTACATAGAACTCTTCCCTTGGTGTCCCGGGTGTATTTGCATATATTCCTTTCCAGGGTGCCCTGGGCATATTTGCATTGACCCCTTCCCACGGTGCCCTGGGTATATTTTCATCGACCCCCCCCTTCCCATACGGCCCTGGACATATTAGCAGGTATCCTTTCCCATTGTGCCCTGGGCGTATTTGCATAGACCCCTTCCCATGGTGTCCTGGTTATATTTGCATATGTTCCTTCCCAGGGTGCCCTGGACATATTTGCATAGACCCCTTCCCATGGTGCCTTGGGGACATTTTCATCGACCGACCCCCCCCCCCCCCGCTCCCCTCCCCTTCCCATGCGGCCCTGGACATATTAGCATGTATCCTTTCCCATGGTGCCCTGGGCATATTTGCATCTATCCCCTTCCCATGGTGTCCTGGGCATATTTGCATAGACCCCTTCCCATGGTGCCCTGGGCATATTTGCATATATTCCTTCCCATGGTGCCCTGGGCACATTTGCATATATCCCTTCAAATGGTGCCCTGGGCATATTTGCATGTATCCTTTCTCATGGTGCCTTGAGATTTGCCTATATTTGCATTCGCATATATCCCCAAGGTTTCTGGGCATGTTTGCATATATTCCTTCCCATGGATTTCTGGGTATACTTGCACATAGCCCTTCAAATGGTGCCCTAGGCATATTTGCATATAACTCTTACCATGGTGCCCTGGACATATTTGCATATATATCCCTTCCCATGGTGCTCCGGTTAAGTTTGCATCTACCCCTTCCCACTTCTGCACAGCGTCCTGGGACTGTTTGCACATCTCCCAAGAGCTCCCGTCTGGCTCCCCACCCTGCCCCATCGTGCCCTCCTCCATATGCTGGAACAGATCTGGGCCACACCCTGAGCGTTGTGCAGCACGGGGCTCAGAACTAGGGTCCCTGGCTAGTCTGCTGTGACAAACCCTGCCCAGAGTTGTGCCTTGGAGGGTTTGTGGGGTGGGGTGATCAGGGAGTGTATGGAAATATCTTTTGAACCCAAAATTACTAAGATAGTCTATTTTCCAAAATTGTTTTCTTAATATGACTTAAAGGGGGAAAATGACTAAAGAGTAAAAGGAGGGGGTATGATGGGGACTTATGGGAAAGAAACTGGGGACACTGGTGCTGGGAAATGTACACTGGTGGAGAGATATATGCAAATGTACACTGACTGAAACTTAATCTCAACAGCGTTGTAAAGGTCTATTTCATAATGATTCAATTAAAAAATCTTTTAAAAATGCATAAAAGGAAGGACTGAAACCATTTTTCAGTGGGAAAGGCGCTTGCCTTGCACCCCACAGACCCAGATTCAATTCCCAGCACTTCACAGGGTCCCCCAAACTCCACCAGGAGTGATCTTTGAGCAGAGAACCAGGAGTAACCCAAAAACTCCCAGATGTGGGGCCAAACAAAACTTGAGGTTATGAGTCACATCTCTATTTTTTTTGCCACACCCCCGCCCCCCCCCATCTCAATATTCAAAAACCACTTGGAAAGGCTTTAGCACAAATGAGCAGGAATACTGCATTCCCCTCCTGGGGACCTGGGAGCAGCCCTCCCCAGTGTCCCCTCCCACAGCACCAACTTTGGGAGAATTCTTCTTTTTCTGCTAGAGCCACTGAAGCTCCCGGTGTCCATGCACTGCACTTCAGCACCCTGCTGGGCCATGGCAATACCCACCAGGCATCCTTGCAGCCCTCTGTAGGACACCCCTCTGGATCGTCTCACTCCAAGGCCCCTGGACACAGCATGCACAGCCCTTCCCTCAGCCCCATCCTGACAACACCTCCTCGGACGCATGCCAGGCCTCGAAGGCATCAGCAAAGAAATTCCAAAGGCCACACGCGGAGGGTTGGCTTAAGGAGAGCAGGTGTGAGTGCTAGAATTTCTCTTAGTCTCTCTGCATTTCCACTGTAAGCCAGGGCTTGCTATGCTAGCCTGATGTTCAGGCACTTGGGCAGCTCATGGGGTGATTTCCCTCCTATGGGCATCCTGGCTGCAGCCCTGTGCCAATCATCACGTCTCTAGCTCTGTCTCAGACCTGGGGCTGGGGGACACTGGCTGACCCTCCAGGCTCCGTGCTCAGCAGGACACAAAGCACCAGGGCTGGAGCTGGGGCTCCCACGGATGAAAGCTGCACCCAAGTGCCAACCTTGTTCCCTTCAAGGAAGGCCACTAAAGATTAGCCCGTCAGGTGTGGAGGGGTCCGTGAAGCCGCGCCTGCGCTGTGGAGGAGGCAGGTGCCAGCAGCCTCCTCCACAGACAGGCTTTGCGCCCAGGCCCCCCCTAGGGCTGGTCTGGACTCTGGGAGAGTGCCCTGGCCCACTTCTCCCCTAATCTTCTACGCGTTGGGAGGACAGAGACAAAACACCCTTGAAAAGCCTAAAATCACAAAGCTGGGTTTGGTTAGACACCTGGAAAGATAGTGAAGCAGCCTGTGCCCGTGGAAACCGTGGAAACATGCTGTCCTCCAGAAGGTCCCTGTCAGTTGCTGCGGGAGGAGTGGGCAGGCCCACCAGCAGAATTTCCTGGGCGGGGACCAAAGGAGGCCTCCCTGCCACCAGGGGTCAGTATTGGTGGGTCACCTCTGGCTTCTCTGCTAACCCTCACTCTAGTGCTCAGTAGTGTCATGGATGTGGGGGACCCCAAGGGAGGCCCCGCTGCCCTCTGGTACCCGAGTCTGAGCTTTTCAAAGAAAGACACTGACTTTCCTGCAGTTCTGAGCCACATGGAGCTGAGGAGCCCCGTCCAGGTCAGACTGCAGCTCATTTCCACCCCAGCAGCTCTGGGTACCACCACTGAGACCGTCAGTTGTGGTTCTCGGGTTTATGGTGTATCCATGGAATAAACTGTAGGTGGACTCACGTGCATACAAAGAGTAGAATTTATTTTTTATTTTATTATTTTTTTTTGCTCTTTGGGTCACACCTGGCAATGCACAGGGGTTTCTCCTGGCTCTGCACTCAGGAATTACTCCTGGCGGTGCTCAGGGGACCATATGGGATGCTGGGAATCGAACCGGGGTTGGCCGCGTGCAAGGCAAACGCCCTACCCGCTGTGCTATCACTCCAGCCCCAAAAGAGTAGAATTTAGATGCAGTGTATAAATGGAATAGCAACGTGTGTCCATGAACTCAGTGGGTATCTGGATTGGTGTGCATGCATGGACTCCAGTGCATACATGGATTCAGCTGCATTGGCTCAGGTGGTACAGGGATTTAGGTGTGTACATGGACTCACATGTGTGCAGGACTCTGCTACATACACAAACCCAGGGACCAGGTATGTGCCTGGTTTCCCTCCCACAGGCTATGTGATGCCATCCACACTGTGACTGTTCTGTGGAGTAGTCAGGGCCAGTGTTTGCGCTACTGGGGGCTTTTTTTTGGGGGGGGTCCCCAGCTTCTAGAGCATGCACACTCCTGTCTCTCGCAGAGATGTGTGCTCCGGGCACAGACTCGGTGCGTTTGCCCATGAGCGCTGTCAGGTTCAGCGTGGTGCCAGGTTGTCTTTCCTGGTCACCTGTCCCCCAGCTCTGCCCTGACAGCAGCTCTGCTGTGTGTGGTAGCCATGCCACTCACCTCCCTTGCGGACACCAAGAGTCTGAATGTTTCACAGCCACGGAATTCCCTGCATGAGATGTTCTGTTCAGATCGTAGTGGTGCTTCTTAGTGAATTTTTCATCTATTGATTCCTACTTCTTTCCCCTCTTAATTGATGTCTCTGCCCCTCCCCTTGTCCTCTCTGTTGGCTTTGGGGTCTCACATGCTGGCTATAATCCTCCCATTCTCTGTGCCTGTGGACCTCACTCGCCAGGGGGCGCACCTCCCGGCCATGCTGCTCACACCTTTCAGCTGCCAGACATGGTATTGCACCCTTTTTTATTAAAAAAAATTTTTTTTTTGTGCTAAGGGCTCAGCAGGCTGCTGGTGTTGCCCGTGGTACTGGCCATCCCACTGGCCCTCTGTGGCCAGAAGCCTGCCCCCACCGGTCTCGTACACCAGCTCGCCTGCCTGTATCCGTGTTTCAGTGCCTGCCTGGTGAGCCCAGCCTGGTGAGCCCAGTCTGGTCACTGGTGGATCTCCAGGAGCTGGGGCTGCCCTTCCGGATGGGGCAGCTCCTGGCTCCTTCATCAGCTGCCTGGTCACATGTGGTGTCTGTGCCAGCAGCTCCCTGAAGCTCCTTTATACCCTGCTCACCCGGGCTTCTGGCCACACTGCCTGCCCTCGGCAGCCAACAGGTCACCTAGAGCACCGTGTTCCGAGTCCGCAGGGGCTGTATTCATGGAGCCTGGCCCCAGACTGATCACATACCTCAGTCCTCCAGAACGCGCTCCCCATCACGCGCTTTAGCAGCCACCCCACCCCCAGCATGTCCCTGCGTTCACAGAAGGCTCAAGAATGTGCTGGGATCTTCACTCCCCGCAGCTGTGCCTCTGCCTCCCTCACAGCGGCCACCAGTACCCGGCCCAGGTGGACGGACAGAGTCTCACCTTCGAATCCAGTCCCCCTCCCGGGAGCTGGCTTGGCCCTGTGCCCTGATACCTCAGCTCTGCCCTTGCCAGGAAGCACAGCTGCTCAGACCTGGTGGCCTGCATGCATAGTCCACCCCCACCTCCACCAAGCACAGAAGCACTGTTGCCTGCTTTAGGACCCTGCTGACGTCCGGGCGAACCCCCGGACAGACACACAGGCCCCGACCCCAGCTTCACCTGTCCCTGAACTCAGTCAGGCTCCACGTGTGGGTCACTGGCGTCTGTGTCTGCTTTCTGTGGCTGGCTGTGCCATCCACGAAGGAGAAGAATCTCACTTGTAGCCACAGGTCTTTATTTTCCTGGCCAAGTATCTCTGGGAGAGGGGTGGGCGGTGGAAGGCCCCTCACCTGGTGAACAGTGGGTGCTGCGTGCCCACCAGGATGCCAGGACCTCTGCCCAGGGGCTTGGGGACTGGGATTGCAAGAGAAAAGCACCAGGAGGCTTTTCCTCTGCTACCTCGAGACTGGGTTCGGCTCAGGGGTGGGAGGGGACCTTGAGTCAAGCCAGGAGTGTCCTCCATAAACCTGTCCTCTCTTCATAGATGTGCCCCAAGGCCTTTGATCTTTACCAAGGGCTGGGAGAGAGTGGGTGTGTGGCTCAGGGGGCAGAGGGGCCTTCAGTGGAACAAAGTCAGTGGCATGGACGGTCTCTCGCCTGCGGCTCTGGTTGGCTCTGGTGCAGTAGGGAACCTGAGAGGGGCCCGGCCCACATGCCTGCAGTCCCGGAGGCTCCTCTGGGGGGCCCAGGGCCTGTCCCGGGCAGGGGCCCCTCTGTTCTGAGGCATCTGCAGGAAGGTGGAGGAACCAAAGTGGCTGAGCATCCCCGCTCCTCTGCCCTCTGCCAGGACCGGCAGCAGGGCCAGGTAGCGCAGCCAGACCTGGCTGGACAGACGCCCGAGGGGGCTGGGACAGACATAGGACCTCCACCAGGGTCCCTGGGACTTGAGTCAAGAAGGCTGGCAGGCACGGGCTGCCCACCCTGCCGTAGCCCCTCCAGCAAGTCCTGCACTGGAGGTCTCCAAGGCGCCCCCACCAGAGCAGGCCCTTGGCAGTTAGGCATCTTGACCGAAGGCCGGGTCCGAGATGCCATGGTCCGGGTTGCAGGAGAAGGCGATGGTGATGGCATAGCGGGTGCCCCAGCGCACCTTCTCCACCCGGTGCAGGTTCTCAGAGCCTGAGGTGAAGAAGGAGACACGGCCTGTGGAGGGGTGGGGGCGAGGCGTGTTACCCACGAGGGGCAGCATGGGGGTCCTGGTGACCACCCCCTACCCCCAGACACGACCTACCGGCTCTGGGCTCCACGGTTCTGTTGGCCCCGTCCTCCATGAACACGAAGCGGCCTCCGCCGAAGTCAGCCAGGTAGTCAGAGAGGTACAGTAGCGACGTGTAGTCAAAGGAGCCGTAGGTCACCTGTGGGTAAGTGTCAGACACGGTCCAGGGCCCTGGCCGTGGGCTGTGCCCAGGAGCAGCAGGGCCGAGGCCCCACCCACAGGGAGCATAGGTCTGCGCACCCTGGAACATGACCCCGCCCACAAGAGTATAACCCCGCCCACACTGGAACATAGCTCTGCCCACATCAAAACGTGAGCCTGCCCTCGAGAGTATAGCCACGCCCGCCGCCCACCCGGGAAGGTGGCCCCATCCACGCAGGGTTGTGTACCCGCCCACACAGGGACATAGCTCCGCCCACAGAGAGTATCGCCCCGCCTACCCTGAAATATGGTCCTGCCCATAGGGAGTATAGCCCCACCCACATCAGAACGTGACCCCGCCCATGCAAGGCCATGTCCCGCCCACATGGAGTATAGCCCCACCCACCCTGGAACGTGACCCCACCCACACAGGGACGTGGCTCCGCCCACACAGGGCGATGGCTCCGCCCACACGGCAGGGCCCCTCTCCAATCACCTTGTCCACGTGCGCGTGCCAGTACTCGTCATGCGCTGTCTGGGCCCCTGTGCTGTTAATGCGGGAGAAGAACGTGGGCTTTGTCAGGTGCAACGCAGAGGCGCTGATGCCGAAAGCCTCGGCGATGGCGAGCTGCACCCTGCGCCGCACATCCCTGCAGGGAAAACCGGGTGTCACCACCGCAGGACAGTGGCTGAATGGGGCACATGGCTCACACCAGAAGCACACCAGAAGCACATGCATGGCATGAGCAGAAGAGGCAGGCGGTGCCCAGAGAGCCTGGAGGAAGGAGCTGGGGAGACACAGCTCTTCTGGCAGACATGCGAGCTAACCTGGAGGTGGCCACGAACTCAGCTGTGCCCAGTAGCTACCTGCCCACAGCATCTCCACACCACCTGGTGGGAATGTGTACTGACTGACCCTGGGGTACAGCGGGGAGGGCGTTTGCCTTGCACATGACTGACCTGCGTTCAACCACTGGCATCCCATATGGCCCCCCACGCCCACTGGGGTGAGCCCTTAGCACAGAGCCAGTAGGACACCCACAGCAGCCCTGGCTTACAGAGGGCTGAGGACAGTGCTGAGTGGTCTTGAGGTACGGCTGTCTCTGTGCCGTTCCCCACCAGATACAAATGCTTCTGCTCAGCAGGGTCGCCTTCCCAGATTCCCACCTGCCTTCCAAGAGTAGGTGAAGGTGACTGACTGGGAGAGCTGAGTGCACAAGGGGAGTAGGGGATGGGGAGGGGAGAGGGTGAGGATGGTGGCCAGGAAGGGAATGGATGAAGGGAGGGGTGGACATGGACGGGCGGTGTCCAGTGTGGGCAGGCGAGTGCACTGGTGGGACGACAGGACGCCTTCTTTGTGGTGGGGGGCCTGGGCTCCCCTCTCAGCTGTCCCACTGCTGTGCCCAGGGCTGCCGGCTCACCGGTAGAGCTGAAAGTCTTCTTCAGAGAAGATGTTCTGGATCTGGTCTCCGAAGTATCTGGAAACAGGCAGAGCTGTCATTCACCTCCTCCATGCCTGTCCTGTCACCTCACCCTGGGGTTCCCACAGGGGTTCCTCTGTCCATCGCTCCAGGCCCGCCACCCCCACCTCTCATCATGGTCCCGGCCTGGCCCCCTCATCCCTGCCTCCTCCTCACAGCCTGCCGCCACCTCCCTGCTTCCTGTACTCCTCCTGCCCAGTCCACTGCCAGAGGAAGTTTTCTGCCCACTGCTTTCCTTTTTTTTTTTTGCTTTTGGGCAACACCTGGTGGTGCTCAGGGAACCATATGGGATGCTGGGGATCAAACTTGGGTCATCTGTGTGCAAGACAAGCGCCCTCTGCCCTCTCCGCCTCCCCCCCTACTTTCCTGGGAAGACCCCCTGGTGGCTGGCTACTACCAGAGCTGGGGCATGGGTTCTGGCCCCGAGGGGTGGCCAAGACAAGGGCCATACCTGGTATACCTGGTCCTCGTTGCCCTGCTGGCTGTGTCACCCCGCCCAGCTCGAAACTGCCCGGACCCAGGACAGCTCAGGGCTCCTTGCAGAGGAGAGGCAGGCGCGGGCTCTCACCTGTACAGGTTCACAAAGTGCTTCCCGACCGACAGGGCACCCGAGTGCAGGTCCAGGATGGACGCCTGCAAAACATGGGCAGGGCCACAGGGCCTGGAGAGGGAGGCCAAACCGGAGGCCAGCGACAGTCTCCACTCCTCCATGCAAGGTGACTGTCAGCCCTGCGTGCACCCACTCCCCCTATACTCACCCCATCGTCAGCCCTGTGTGCACCCTGCACACACCTGTTCCCCAGACACTTACCCCACCGTCAGATCCTCCCAGGGCCAGTCCCTTCTCAGCAATGCTGCAGGGAAGGGCACAGAGTCAGAGTAGAGCTTTAGCACCTTCTAGAACAATCCTGGCAGGTGCAGCCAGCTCTGCCCAGGCAGCAGGATGAACCAGTGGCATTGTGGCAGGAACAATCAGACAGGGGTGAGGGCAGCGCCTTGGTCTGGCATCCAGTGGCCACCAGGGGCATGGCCCTGATCTCGCCAGACCCCACTACCCTTGGGTCCCCCTGGGGACTGGGTCTATCACCACCCGGAGGGGGGCTGGCGGGGTGGTCCTCCCAGTGGCAGGGACTCCGCTCTGGCGATCTCTGAAGACAGGAGCTCAAGGAGGTGGGAAGTGAGGTGCAGTGGCACTGGAGTTTGAGGGGCCAGGGCTGCTTCCTGGGAGAGAACCCCATGTCCAGCCAGGGCCCTGCACTCTGAAAACGGACCCACCCCTTGGTCGCGCATACCTGCGAATGCGCTGGGCTTCCTCCCTGGAGATGACGACATCAGACACGCCCCGGCCACACTTCCTTGGGGAGCAGCCTAGCCAGGAAGAGCCAGGGTGACATAGGGCCCCCTGACCAGGGACAAAGGATCTGGGGGAGGTCTTGGGGCAGATGTGGCTACCAGGACAGGAACCCCAGGGAGGTGGTGGGACCCCCAACACCCTTGGGTGACAGATGTGCACCTGAGTCCTGAGAACTGGCCACAGGCCCAGCACCTTTCATGTCCCCCAACTCCTCCTGGACCACAGATAGATTCCCACCAGGGCTCAGAGGGAGGATGGAGAAGCAGACGGGGTCAGGGCTAGAGAGACAAGGGCAAGCTGCAGTGGGGCAGGACAGGGCAGGGGTGCGGGGACAGGGGCAGGGCTTAAATCAGGCAGTTGATTTAAGCGTCACACACAACCTCAGCAGGCAACCAAGTCTGGGGCTCAAATCAACCTGGTTGATGTCAGTGCTTTTATTACAATAAGAGCAGTCGTAAGTTTTGAAACAAATCCCTGTACTCCAGGGGAGAGGCCAGTGTGGGGTGGGGAATCAGAGCCTTGAAAGCCGAGCTCCCTCTCAAGGGGCCAAGGGAGAGGGGCTCGAGGGAAGGAGAGCAGATCCCCAGGTGCTGATCATCTACTTGCTGACCCCCAAGCATTGACCCTCCAAGGTCTGACACCCCTGACCCTCCAGATACTGATCTCCAAGTACTGATCACGAAGTACTGATCCTCCAGGTACTCACTCCCAGGTGCTGCTCCTCCAGGAACTGACCTCTGGAGTGCTAAACCCCACAGATCTGACCTCCCTCCATCCTTGGTCCCTTCTGGGGCCACCCTGCAGCCCCTAACATGGCACCAACTCTTCCCCTCATGCCCTCGTCAGAGAGACCTTAGAATGGGGTATGGGTAGGGTTTCTGGTAGTGAGGTGACCACACAGTGACCCTCTCGGGCTCTGGTAGTTTTCTCCGGTCCCCCTGCTTGACTTTCTCTCCTAGGTGTCTGTGGATAAGCTGTCTCCTCTCTCAGAGGGAGCACCATGTGGTGGATGCACCCTCGGCTCCTCCATGCCCTCCACTCTGGGCCTGCATCCCCCACCAGCCCCGGGAAAAAACCGGCAGCAACCCAGACCCATTCTGCAGTGACCCTGTGGCTCTTCCCGGGCACCACGTACCTTCGAACCTGCGGTGACTGTCGTAATCTTCGGAACAGGGCACCGTGAAGAATCTGCCGGGCAGCACCTCGTCGCGGCCAGCCAGGACCTCAGTGACGCCCTCCTCACCTTGCTGGTGGTCCCAAAGCAGGAGCCCTGCGAGCCCAGCACAGGCTCCCAGCACCGCGGCGGCGCTTAGCCACTTTCTGCGCAACTGCTTTGGAGTCCAGCCTCCCTTGTTGCTGAGGACAGAGGCACATGTGTCAGCCAACCATGCACACCTGCTCAGGGCCAGCTAGCTGCAGTGTCCTGCCACACCAGCTCAAAGCCATGCTCCCAGGAGCCTGTCTGGAACTAACCCAAGTCAAACCAACTAAAATCACAAGTCAGCCAAAAAGGGGACAGCACTAGGGCTGGAGTGACAGTGCAGTGGGGAGGGCTCTTGCTTGGCACACGGCCGACCTGGGTTTGATTCCCCCCAGGCACCACATATGGTATCCTGGGCACTGCCAGGTGTGGTCCCAAAAAAACAAAAAAGAGGACCAGCATGTGGAAGCAGTCATCAGGTAAGACGTTTTCTGAGTTGAGTTCGCGTCCCACACCTGGGCTACACCGACAGTACATTGACCCTTCCCCATTCCGTCCTCGGGGTTGCGATTAGGGCCAACGAGGGAAGCCTCCCATTTTCCAGGCAGCCTAACACTGAGGCTGTCATGCATGCTCCAGAAACGGAGACATACCCATTCTAAAGTCAGAGATATTAATGACAGGAGGAACAGCGCAGCGCGGACATGCAAGAGGAAAGTCAACTCGGGTTTTCTAAATGCCAAGGGTTCCCGCGCAGCAAGTGGTCCCGGCCACGCCCCTCCACGCCCCAGACCCAGCCCAGGTACTCCCGCCCCTCCAGCGAGTCCCCCCCGCCTGAGTCGCGGCCCCACCTCTTTTCGCCCCGCCCAGAAGGCCCTGACTCTTGGCCCCGCCCCCGTAGCGGCCCTTCCCCAATTGCGCCCCGCCCCCGCTGCACCCACCCAGAATGCCCGTGTCTCAAGGACCCACCCCGTCTCGCCCTAACCCCAGAAGATCCCGCCCTCAGGAGGCTCGCCCCTAAAAGACCCTGGCCCCGCCCCCGTCCCCGCCTCCGAAAGGCTCCAGCCCTGCCCCCGAGAGGGCAGGTCCTAGGCCCCACTCCGTCCCGCCCCCGTAAGGCCCCGGCTATGGCCCCGCCCAGAGGGAGGTCCAGGCGCTAGGCCCCTCCCCCGGGGAAAGCCCAGGCCCTAGGTCCCGCCCCCTGGGAGGTTCAGGCCTAGGCCCCACCCCGGCCCGCCCCGCGCCCAGAAGGCCCCGGCCCCGCCACTAGGCCCCGACCCCGTCTCAGGCACCCCTCCCCCCGCTCCATTTCCGCCCCGCCCCCCGGGAGGCCCAGACCCTAGGCTCCACCCCCAGAAGGCCCCGGCTCAGGCCCGGCCCGACCCCAAGGAGGCCCAGGCCCTAGACCCCGCCTCCATCCCGCCCCGCCCCCAGGGAGGTCCAAGGCCTAGGCCCCGCCCCCTAAGGATCGGTTCTCGTCCCAGGCCCCGCCCCCGGAATGTCCATCCCCAGCCCTAGGCCCCGCCCCCGCCCCGTCCCCGGGAGGCCCAGGCCCTAGGCTCTGCCCCCGGAAGACCCTGGCCCCCGCCTAGGCCCCGCCCCCGGCCGTCCCGCCCCGCAGGCCCGCGCTGCGCCCCCGCGGCGTTCGCCGCCCCCTACCCCGCCGCCGGCTTCCTGCCGTGCCGCCTGCGCTCGGGTGCTCCCGCGCCGGCCTCGTGCGCCCTGGGCGCGCCCCTCCGCTGAGGCGCCATCGGCCGGGCTGTGCGGACGCGCCGGCGGGACGCGGGGACGCGAGCGACGCGCTCGGCGCTCGGCGCTCGGCCGTGGGCTGCGCCAGGCGGCGGCAATCGAGGGCCGAGCGCGGCGCGCATCCCGCTTGGCGCCTGCGGAGCCGCGCCCACCCGGATCAGGTCGGGAGGCCGCGCCCCTCGGGGTTCCCGGCGCGAGCGGTGTGCCGGGCGGACAGACCACCCCCACCGGCGGGCCCTTGCCGCCTTAGTTCCCGCGCTGCCCTCGGTGCGTTTGGGGGTGGGGGCGCGGGACCCTCCTCCTAACCCCGGGCGGAGGCTTCGCCGCGCCTGTCTGTCTTGGCGTGACCTCACTCCATTTCAGAATGACTCGTTTCCCCCTGCCCCCACAGCAACGTTTCGCGGAGCTGAAGAAAGTTTGGCCCGTGGCGCGGACAGGGTGTCTGTGAGGCGGGCTGTGAGCTGGGCTGGGGCGGAGGGGCAGGCCACCGGGCCACAGGTACCTTGTCTCCCCCTGCAGACCGCGCCGGGACCCCGGATCCTGCCGTGTGTCGTTCACCCAGGATAGGTGCCATGTCAGGCTGCTCACCCTTCAAGATGCGGCTCGTTCATCTGGACCTCAAGGGAGCCCCGCCCAGGGTGTCCTACCTCTCCGAGGTGCGCCGCCGCAGTGCTCAGACCCACCACGGGACCCAGAGGGGAGCCTACAGCCCCCACCCATCACTCAAAGCAGAGCAGCCAGGAAAGCAAAAGGACCACTTTGACCTGAGATTGTCCCCGACACAGTGTCCTCCCCTGCTCACCTCCTGCCTGCAGGAGGCCTTTGGAAAAGGCTTCCTCTTACGGCTGGCTAAATACCGAGTGTCAGGCCCCGTGAGCACTCCTAAGGCAGAGATGAGGGTTCTGACACCGACAAGAGAACTGTAGGGACGGGATCAGGCACCCCAGCCCCGGACCCTGTTTTCTCAAGGGATGCTCTACCCCAGCCCCACACTCCAGAGGGACATTCTGTTCCACCCCCATACTCTGCAGGGACCCTAGCCCCATGCTGTGGAGGGACCCTTGGTCCAGCCCCATGCTCAGGAGGGACCCTCAACCCTAGCCCCACGCTCTAGAGGGACCCTTGGCCCTAGCCCAATGCTCTGCAGGAACTCTCTGTCCTGGTTCCTTCAGGTAAGGAGCTGCTCTCTGGCCAGGAGCCAGCTTCCGTCTCAGGCACTCTCCTGGCGGCTGTGTAGTGGTTCCATTTTGCTGCCCCACACTCTGTGCCAGGTGTTGGTGGCACCCCTGGTTCACAGTGTACGCACTCAGCTGTCCCCTCTCCCCCATACTTCGTCTGCACATCACTCCCTGATGCCCCCCCCCTCCCCAGGTCTTTCCGCTCTTCCAAGCTCTGGGCGCGAATGGGCTCCTCATCGAGTATGAGGACATGTTTCCCTACGACGGCCACCTGCAGCTGCTGAGGGCCAAGCATGCATACAGGTACCGCCATAGGGTGTCACCCCTTACATAGCTGTTTGGTTCTGAGGGCAGCATCCCAGCACAGGATCTTTGCATATAGGTGCCTCAATACAGACATCCACTAGTGCGAGTGACCCCAGTATACAGGCATCCTCAATATAGGTGTCTGCACAGGCATCCTCAGTATGAGTGTCTGACAGGTGACCCCAGTATGGGTGTTGCACAAGAGTCTCCCATATGGGTGTCTGCACAGGCATCCCCAGTATGAGTGTCTGCACAGGTGTCCCCCATATGGATGTCTGCACAGGTGTCCCCTGTACGGGAGTCTGCACAGGCGTCCCCCGTATGGGTGTCTGCACAGGTATCCCCCATATAGGTGTCTTCACAGGTGTCCCCAGAGTGGGTGTCTGTACCAGCATCCTCCAGCGCCTCTGTACAGGCATCCCCTAGTCTGGTGTCTGTCCCGGTGTCCCTGTGCATAGTAGATGTGGTAACCAAGCATGCCTGTCTGTGGGCTGTGTTTGGTGGTTGTTCACTGTCTTTTCCTTCTCTTTGGCCGTGTTCCCTACCTGCAGCAGATGGATTGTTTTTGAATGAGAAAATACAAGGGCTCCTGTGAAGCTTGACTAAGCATATTTGTCGAGTATGAGGACATGTAGTGACTGACTCGAGACATACAAGTGTCTTGAGACTTGGCCTTGCTCATAGCTGTCGTGGCTTTGATTCTCAGCACTGTATAACATCCCCCAAGTGCTTCCAGAGGCCACTCCCGAGCACAGAGCCAGGAAGCCCCTGAACACCATATGTGTGTGCCCCCCCCACCAGAAAACTAAAAAGGCAACTAAAAGTTGAGGATAGAGGCAGAGCTTCGTGTGACTGGTATCCTTCCAGAACCGACTACCTGGGCTGGAGCTGTAGTACCGAGTGCAAAGCCAGGAGTAACCCCTGGGCACTGCCAGTTATGGCCCCAAAAAGCAAAAAGAAAATAAAAAACCCAAACCGACTGACTACTGCAGGTATGATACAGGACTGGGAAAGGGCTTGAAGAGAGGTGTGCATGAGAGTTTGATCCCTGCCACACCGCCTGGGGCCAAGCCACACAGCCAGGCCAAGTGCCCTGGGAATGACCTCCAGGCTCCCGAGTGCCAGGGAGCCTGCTCCCCAGGACGTTCCAAAGGCAGGTGAAACATGGCCATGGCTCCTCTTTGATGCCTGGTCACCAGCGCACTGGGATGTGGGTGACCCAGGCATTCCGTGCACTTTCCACTCCTCTCTGCCCCCAGCCCACTCCCCACAGCTTCTGGGCCTAGAAGCTGCCAGGGGGGTGCTGTCAACCTTTTTCTTTCTTCTGGTAGTGATCACCAGGTAGTCCTCAGGGGTGGGCCCGGGGTGTCTGATGTCACATGTGCTAGACAGAGTGTGTGTGTTCCAGCCAAACCCCACTTGTAGGTGTGAGCCAGGACTCTCCATGTCACATCACAGCACCTTCCTCTGTTTTCTGGAACCTTCTGCACATTTCCAGTCGTGGGCTGAATGCCCAGCTTCTGGTGCCTGGACCCTCTGGGGGGCGCTGTTCCCTGCCAGCCCTGCGCTGTGCAGTTCAGTGAATGAAGGGACAACAGAGGGGACCGTCAAAAATGGGAAGATGCCTGTATGACTCTTTTTTGCTCATTTGTTACTGTTTTGAGGCCACACCTGGTAATGCCAATACTCAGGACTTACTCCTGGCTCTGTACTCAGGAATTACGCCTAGAGGTGTTCGGAGGACTGCATGAGTTGCCAGAGATCAAACCTGGGTGGGGATCGAACCTGGGTGGGCCATGTGCAAGGCAGATGTGCCTACTAGCTGTACTATCACTCAGCACTCCTGAGGCTCTTCATTGTTGGCGACAAGCAACAGGCCCAGGTTCCTGAGAAGGAGGGGGAGGAGCAGGCATGACCCTCTCAGGATGTCACTGTCCCCAGCCCTGCAGAAATCGGCGAGATTCTGCATCTGGCCACTCGGCATGGGCTGGAGGTCATACCCCTGGTGCAGACATTCGGCCACATGGAGGTGAGTGCGGGTTGCTGCCCTGTTGCCCCCTGTGGGCGGGGCCTAGGCAGTGGGAGCGGCGTGTGGGTGGCCTGTGGTCTGGAGCCCTGGACCTAGGGGCTTGGGGAGTGCTCAGTGGCCCTGGTTCCTTGTAGTGAACAGCTCAGAACAACCCTGTAGGATTGGAGGGAGAAGCCAGAGGGGATGGAGGGACCCGGCATCCATCAGTTTGTGGGAGGGAAATGCTTGGAGGAGGGACGGGGTGGGGAGGAGGGACGGGGTGGGGCGGTGGGGCGAGGTGTTCAGGTGTGATTCCTGCAGGGGTCGGGGTACTCTGTGTGGTGCCAGCGTTGGAGCCAGGGTCTGACAGTGCAAGCAGGCCCCTCTCCTGTCCTCTCTAGCACAAGCAGTCATCAAGGAAAGAAATGCTTCCTGCTTTCTCCCCCATCCTCCCTGAGATGCAGTTTCCCACATCACATCCGGTCACCAAACACCCTTCTTACATCTGTAGAGTACCATGAGCTACGCACTGCTCTCTGCCTCCCCGTGGGGCTGTCTCTCTCTGTCCCCTCTGTCTGCTCCTTCCCGCTGCTGCCCATGTCCCCTCCACCTAGGCCATCAGTCTCTGCTGGCCAGCTGCCCCTGTTTTGCCCAGAGGCCACGTCTCCCTGTCTTCTCCCTGCCCACTCAAGGCAGACCATCTCTGCTCCTGCTTTCAAGCTGCCTGGGATGACTCCCTGTGGGGGAGTTGCTGCTCCTCCCCACTCCAAGCAGCTTCTCTGACTCAGTTCTGGAAGGCAGCATCTGAGCCAGACGTCCTCAGACTTCCTTGGCTCACCTCTGGGAAACTCCCTTTTATTTGTTGGGGTTAGGTGTTGGGGTCACACCTGTAGTGCTCAGGGCTTGCTGCCAGCTCAGTGCTCAGGGGACGTCTTCCCTGCTGTCCTGTCCCTCTATGTGCAATCCACAGGTTCTGCGCCTTCTGCCACCTTTTTTTCTGTATTCAGGTTGAATACTGTTGTGGGACTGGAGTGACAATAGGTAGGGTGCTCACCTTGCATGCAGCCAGCCCAAGTTTGATCCCTGAAATCCCATATGGCTTCCCAAGCACGATCAGAAGTGATTTCCTGAGTCCAGAGCCAGGTGTGGCCCCAAAACAAAACGAGATCATTGTGGACCTATTTCCTCAGTTCAGACTTTTTTTTTTTCTTTTTGGGTCACACCCAGCGATGCACAGGGTCACACCTGGCTCATGCACTCAGGAATTACTCCTGGAGGTGCTCAGGGGACCGTATGGGATGCTAGGAATCGAACCCAGGTCAGCCGCGTGCAAGGCAAACACCCTACCCCTATGCTATTAGTCCCAGCTTCTTTTTTCTGACCTTTGAAAATCTCCCAACCCCACTGGATGGATTTTTATTTTTGTCTTACTGTACAGAGTTTCCCTTAATCCTTGGAACACACACACACACACACACGTGCGCATGCACATGCACACATGCATAAACCGAGGGAGCTGGAGCGATTGCACACATGGCAGACCCAGTTCAATCCCCAGCGTTCCATATGGTCCCTGGAGCTTACCAGGAGTGATCCCTGAGCTCAGAGTGAGGAGTGAGCTCTGATTGCAGCTGGTGTGACTCCAGAAGAGACAAGGAATCTGGATCATAGTCTTTTTTTTTTGCTTTTTGGGTCACACCCGGCTTTGCACAGGGGTTACTCCTGGCTCAAGCACTCAGGAATTACTCCTTGCAGTGCTCAGGGGACCATATGGGATGCTGTGAATCGAACCTGGGTCAGCTGCATACAAGGCCAATGCCCTACCCGCTGTGCTATCGCACCAGACCCCCATAGTCAGTCTTGATTATGATCAAGATTCCTTTGAAAAATTCCCAGAAAGTAAACAGCTGGTCCCGTAAGCATCTGTGTGCAGGGACACCCCTTCTCCCATGCTGGGCTTCACTCCAAGTCGCTGTGTGCCCCAACAGTCGGGCCCCTCGCAGCAGACCGGCCTCTCTGTGGGGGCAGTAGAGGCTGGATCTCTGCTGCCTTGGGTGCCCTTGGGTCTCCCACCTGCCCTTCAGGCCCCCGAGGGACCACTGAGGAGCTGACTGGGGGTTCAGCTGCTTCTGCCCGCATGTTGGGTGGTGCAGGGGCAGCCCAGTGAGGAACTGTAGGAAGCCTGTTGTTCCCATGGCTGCTTTCCTGAACTGTCCCAGCCAGTCCCCAGTGTCCCGAGGCAGCTGAGCCAGAAGTCCACCAGCCCAAGCGGTGGCGCCACAGAGCTCCGTTCTCTCCGCAGTTCGTGCTGAAGCACAAGGCTCTGGCGCATCTCCGGGAAGTGCCGCTGTTCCCCAACACCCTGAATCCCCACGAGGCTGAATCCCAGGCACTGGTGGCGGCCATGGTACAGCAGGTGCTGCAGCTGCACCCAGGCGCTCGCTGGCTCCACCTGGGCTGTGACGAGGTGGGTGCCTGGTGGGTTGTGCCCTTTGCCCTCTGCTCCCACTGCTTCTCTCCGCCCCACCGTGTGGACATGTGTCCTCTCATGTGTGACCGGCCTCCCACTGGTTGCAGCTGCCTGGCCCTGCTGGCCGAGGCCCCCACAGACTGGGGTTGGCGCTGGAGCAGGTGGGCCGTGGCAGAGCGCTTGCTGGGCTCTGGTGTGCAGTGCTAGCCCTGAAGGCACACAGCGTGCACACAGGTGGCAACCGTACAGACCCCGGAGTTTTTGCTCGGAAGGACCTTCTTGGTGCTTTCCAAGGGAGCAGGGGTGGGCTCCAGGGCCCCTGCCTGGCCTGTAGGCAGCCCCTCCCACTCTTCCCTGCAGCTTTGCTGTCCTGAGGTTTCTGCGGCAGGCTCTGGGGGGTGTCCACTCACCCGCACCCTGGGCCTCCGCAGGTCTACTACCTCGGGGAGGGCGAGGCCTCGAGGCGGTGGCTGCAGCAGGAACACAACAGCAAAACACAGCTGTGCTTGTCCCACGTGAAGGCGGTGGCCAGCCATGTGCTGGCCCAGCACCCCACCACGACGCCCCTCGTGTGGGACGACATGCTGCGGGACATCCCCGAGGGCCAGCTCTCAGGTGGGAAGGCGTGGCCGAGGGAGGGGGAGCCTGAGAGGCAGCAAGCCCGCTCCGGGCACGACAGCCGGACAGGGCTTCTGGGCAGAGTGGCTCGAGGCACACAGAAGCCGTGACTGCATCTCCAGGGCGGGGCAGGCAGGGAGCTCGGCCTTCCGGGCACAGGTGGGTGCAATTGTGTCTGCCCGGGGCCTGCCACTTGCCGCTCTCCTGCCCCCAGCCTCCGGATTGCCGCAGCTGGTGGAGCCAGTGCTCTGGGACTACGGGGCCGACCTCGACGTCCATGCCAAGGGTCAGTGTACCTTCAGGCTCTGCCCCATCCCAGGGCCTGGTCCTCAGGAAAGACTTGGCATCCCCTGGCCCCCACCCGGCAAGGCCCAGATGCAGCTGGGTCGCCCGTGTTGGGGTGACACATCCCGTTGCTCTCCCACAGCCCTTCTTGTGGAGAAGTACCGCAAATGCGGTTTTGCCCGCCTGTGGGCCGCCAGCGCCTTCAAGGGGGCCACCGGGGCCAGCCAGGCGCTGACCCCCATTGAGCATCACCTGAGGAACCACGTGCAGTGGCTGCAGGTGGCAGCTCACGCGCCTGCCCACGCACTGCAGGGCATCGTGCTGACAGGCTGGCAGAGGTAGGGCCCCAGCCTGGTCCACAGGGTGAGCGTAGCTGCCTTCCTGGGGACAGTGGGCTCCTGGAGGGCTCCTGGTGCAGGGAGCTGGTGCAGAAGGCCGCTCTGTGGAAGCTTCTAGAGAGTGGCCTTGTGCACTGGTGTGGGGCCGGAGCTGAGTCTCTCCCCCCATAGGTACGACCACTTCTCCGTGCTGTGCGAGCTCCTGCCTGTGGGCATCCCGTCTCTGGCCGTGTGTCTGCAGACACTCCTGCATGGTACGGGCTGCTAGGCATTCCGGCCGCTGCCCGCCCAGGTCGAGCAGTAGGACGTGCCCCCAACACAGTGGCCCTGAGTTCCTCACAGTGGCAAATGCTGTCAGCCCGGGGAGGCCTCCAGGCTGGCCCCTGGCAGGGCTCCTCCGTGCAGTGGGGCTGCGGGCACAGACCACACCTTGTGTGCTCAATTCTTGTCCTGCAGACCTGTGTCCACCTGACCCACATCCGGGGACAGCTGCAGTCCCAGGGGTCAGCTGTGTGCAGGCACTTCACCCCGTACTGTCTCTCTGGTGCTGTTCTCCACTGAGCACTGCTGCTGAGAAACAGGATATTCCAGGACTGGGTCTGGCCAGCGTAGTCAGCACAGAGTCCAGGCCCCCGACCACTGTCTGGTGGTTTTCAGGCGGCTTTGCTGAAGATGCCAGAGCAAGAGTGGAGACCTTCCTTGGGACCCCAAGCCTGGAACTCACGGGCCTCGCAGGGTAACCTCCTCCTCCCACCCCCACCCAGCCCTGCGCCAGGCCACCCTCTCATGGGCTGCCTCTCTGCAGGGAGGGGGCTGGCTCTTTCCCTGGCAGCGACATCTTGGCCCTCATCAGCCAAGTGAGCCTTCACCTGTGCAGTTCCGTGGACACCCTGCTGGAGAAGGACCGGTGAGCAGCGGGTATCCCCACGACATGAAGAGTTTCTGGGGGACGCATCATTGTTTTGGGGCCACACTCAGCTCTGCTCAGGGGTCACTCCTGGGAACTATCTGTGGAGCTGGGGATGGAGCCTTACTCCTGTATCTTCTCTGGCTCCAGCAACTTATGTTTACTGCTTCCCCTGGATCCAGCATGCATGGCTTTGGCTTCACTGCTGAGATACATCCCTGGCCCGAGCAGCTCTGAAGTGCTTAGCAGGACCAAGGCTGCAGAGGTGCCTCTTAAGCCACTCCCCGCTCTCACACACCCGTTGTTTGCCCCAGGTATGTGACAGGCTGGTTCAGCCCCTACCACCGCAGGCGGAAGCTCATCCACCCAGTCATGATCCGGCACATTCAGCCCCAGGCACTCAGGTAGGCAGCCTCCAACCATCCCTCTCTGCCAGCTGTGCCTGCTGACTGCAGCTTTCTATCCAGGTCACCCCCATGGTCCATTAGGGGCCCCTTGGCTGTCCTTGCAGAGAAACGAGGGTGTCGGAGTGGCTGGGTGGCTTAGGGTTCTCTGGCTGTGGCCATGCCCTGCCTGTCCAGGGGGCACTCCCACCAGCCTGCCCTCCCTGAGACTCTGGGTCTCACCCACAGCCTGCTGGCCAGGTGGGAGACCGTGGTGCAGGAACTGGAGGCCGCCCTGCAGCGTGTCTTCTACCCGGACGCCGTGGAGGAGTGGCTGGAGGAGAACGTGCGGCCCAGCCTGCAGCGTTTGCAGATGCTTCTTCAGGACCTGGGCGAGGCTGCAGCCCAGGGGGCGGATGCTGGGCCCTGAGGGAGAAGGCAGGACCCAGGGACTGGCGCCACCCATGTCCCCTCTCCCTCCTCTCAGCATCGCAGCCCAGAAGACAGCACTGCATTTTGTACTTTATTTTAGGGAAAAAGCATCGTACCTAGCCGTTCAAAACCTAATGTTGGAGTCATTTTTTATGTTTACATAGGGAAACTCATGTGTGTGGGGGGGCAGGGCCAGGGTTACTTTTGCAGTGCTGGACTTCTGGTTTGGTGCTGGATCCTGGACACCTGGGCAGTCTTGGGGGCCACATGGCAGCCGCTAGCTAGCTCTGCCACTCTGCCACTGGGGCTCTTGCAGCAGCCTGGGTGGCGTCAGAGTCCAGGCAGCCCCTGCTGCAGGGGGGGCGCTGCTCCTTCCAGATCTCCACAGCCCCTCACTAGGGCAGCTGTGATAGCACAGCTGGTGTCCCATGCCATGGCGGCCACCTGCTCCTGACACACCAGGGTGATTGGCTCAAATACCAGGTGTTCCATGGGCACATGATGAAGAAATGTGATGATAGATGAGGCTGGAGAGCCGCCCTACCCCAGCCCCGGTGGCCTGTTGGCAGAGACCTGGGGAGCAGGTGCAGTACACACAGCCGAAGGCAGTCATCTTTTCCTCCCCAGACGTCCAGGGCCTGTGGCCTTTGTCCATCAGAACAGATGCCACTAGGGGAGAGCTGGTTCTGTGTCCTTCCAGAGGTTCAGGCCCCTGCATCAGGACCCCGAGAGGGGCCTGTCCCCCTTGCTCCTCACACAGCCCGGAGGTGGCAGGTCAGTCCAGTCTGGGCTTTCTCGGGGCAGGTCCCCAAGAGGAGTCTCAGGTGACCCTCGGACAGCCGGGCCAGGGCTCGTGGTGTCAGCGCTGGTCTCCAGGACCTTCCGCCTCACTGTCGCTGCTCTGGGACAGCTCCATGGGGCTCTCCAGGCGGTGCAGCTCCAGGAAGCTGACGATGAGTCTGGCAATGGCTTCCACATCACTGGGCAACAGCACCGAAGTGGGGTGGAGGTTACTGCGGCAGCCAGACACTCTGCCCAGGCCCCACAGCCCACCCAGCCTCAACCCGTACCTGCGGTGGCCCATGACCGCGCTCTGCGTCAGAGGGTGGGAGAAGCCTGTTGCAAATCGCAGCACCACCACGTAGCCCTTCCCGAAGTAGCGCACCTTCTCCTCCTCCACGTTCACATCCCGGATGTCATGGAGCAGGACCACCACTGGGGGCAGGGCCGGGTCAGAGCCTGCTCCTGCCCCTGCCCCTGACTGGGTGCCAGGGACCCCGCCCAGAGCTCACCCACCACCCTCTCCAGGCTGGGCTCATCCCTGCATGTCCAGTGGGCAGAAAGGGACGGAATGTTGGCACAGGCCTGGCACGCTCACATGCATGGAACTGCCTGCCCAGTGCAGAAATGCTGAGCTGGGGGCGTCAGCCCCATGACCCTCTTGCTCCCAGGCCCTGCCACTCACACAACCCCATGCCTCCTTACCCTGGTCATGGCCCGCCCGGGAAAGGGTGAGCAGCTTCCTGTAGAGGCTGAACGTCTTCAGGACAACCTTCCCTGTGTTCTTGTTGAAGATGGCTTCCTGCAAAGCAGTCAGAAGGGGTCAGCTGGCCACAAGCAGAAGTCCATCCAGGGAGGAGGGTCATGCACAACATCAGCCAATGCTCGGGGCACCTCTGCCTTCCCGCCCATCTTGGGCAGAACCACAGGAATCCACGCATGCTACCTGCTACGCCAGCTCTGGGACATTGGGCTCTGCCCCCCGTCGCAAGCAAAGGGCAGCACAGCAGCGCAGGCTCCCGAAAGGCAATAGGGGAAGTGAAAGGGGATGACGGCAGCAGCCAGGACCCGAGGTGAACCTGGCAGGAGGCAGCCCTGGCCTGGGGAAACTACAGCAGTGATGCCCGGAGAATGAAGGGCACAGACAGAAGTGTGGAGCCTCTAATAGGGAGCGCAGAGCAGGAAGTCTCAGCTACAGGACCGTGTGTGTGTGTGTGTGGCGGGCACTGTCAGCTCACCTCCCAGTCCTCCAGGTTTTGCACCGCCACGAAAAGGCAGCCCATGACGTAGAAGAGCTTCCAGCCCAGACTGTCTGCAGAGAGCAAAGAACCAGTGAGTGGCAGTCCCTGCATCCCACCGGGCCTGCCCCCGGTGGAATCTGTGCCGGGCAGGCAGGATGACTGCTAGGAGGGGCAATCGCACTCCGGAGGGGGTTGATGGGGGTGGGGGTCCCGGGGGCTGGGGTCACATGCTCACCACCGCTGTAGTAGGCAGCCGCCAGCCCGATGGACAGGATTCCTGCAGAGATAAGAGTCAGCGGCGCCGTGAGCCCCGCGGGGGGCCCCCGCGCCCAGCCCCCTCCCCGGGGCGCGCCCCCCTCACTTACCGACTAGCAGGGACCAGGAGCGGGCGCCGGGCGCGCGCGTCAGGTGCAGGCAGGAGCCGGAGCGCGACTCCACCTGCATGTACATCCCGGAAACGGGCCGTAGCGCGCGGGGCTCACCGGCGCACCGATTCCGGGACGTGGCCAGCGCCGGCTTCCGGGTGGGCTGGCTTCCGGGCTCGCGGGACCACCGGCTTCCGGGTTGGGCGGTGAGAAGCTTCCGGGTGGGCCTGGCTTCCGGGATCGCGGGACCACCGGCTTCCGGGTTGGGCGGCGCGAGCTTCCGGGTGGGCTTGGTTTCTGGGTGGGCTTGGCTTCCGGGTAGGCGGGCTGGCGCACCTCTGCGGGCCCCTGGGTCGCCCCTGGCCGGCCCCGGCGTGCGGGGCTCCCACTGAGCTGGCAGTTCTGAGTACGAGCGCCCAGGGGCGCAGGCCCGGGACCCTCGGAGCCCGGCTCGGGGTGGGTTCTCCGGTCTCTGGGAGTCCTGCCGAGCCCGCTGGTGATCAGACCCCCACATTTGATGCGCGTGTGGCCCCCACATTTGGTGCGCGTGTCCCAGCCTGTGGAGTCATTTTTCTGCTCCCTCATTAATTTCATATTAGACGCACAAGCCGCCGAAAGAGCTGCATAGCCCACTTGGACATGGGCTCTGTTCTGTTCATTGTGGAGAAGCTAGTTTCTCTCCTGAGCAAGTATCTTGATCTTCCTCTCCCCTCCCTTCATTTCCCCAATCAGCTTGTTTTGCTTTCCAAAATTTGTTTTTCATATTAAAATGTGAAATTAATGAGTTGTCTCTATCCTGGTTAGACCTTGCCAAATACCTGCAGATTCTGTGCCGCTATAGAAGGGAGCGGGACTATCTCTAAGTGTGGAGCACTGTGTACAGGAGCTGCAAAGGCGGGGCTCCCTTCGTCCACCATTCCAGGTTCTTTAGTATTTTTAAGAATGAAAATGCTGAGTAATAAAGATGTTCAGACTCCAAATTGGGAAGTAGAAAAGTTCTTTAGAATGTGGAAGTGAAAGGAAAAGGGACTTCCCAAGTGGGGAGGGGCTTAATATGTGACTGAGTCAAAGGAAGTTTCGTGTAGGCCCTTTTAAAGGCTTCTGGCACTTCTTATCATTTGTCAAGTGTTTGCAAAAGATACAGGAAAATCCCGGGGTTGCTGCTGGTCTAATCGCCCCAGGCATTGCCCATTATTTCAGATTTCCTGTCAGTCTAGGCTGCAGGGCAATGTTATGTTCCTGGGAAATTCTGGGACGCTGAGAAAGGACCTTGGACATGAAATGTATGTCATTTCATGTTGATGGGGGAGAGATGGAGAGATGAAACATCTGGCAAGAGGAAATGGAGGCTTCCTCTCTCACTGGCAAGGTGAAACTGAGGCTTCCTCTTTCCACCTTGTGTACACTGCCTTAAAAACAAGCAGCGGGAAAGTGCATGTATTCATGGCTAGTAAACAAATGGAAAAATACTCTACATGGCTAATCATTAGGGAGACACAAATCAAAACAGTGAGATATCTCACACCACAGAGACAGGTACTCATCAACAAGAACTAGAACAACCAATGCTGGTGTGGATGCGGGCGAGAAGGGACTCTCACTGCTGGTGGAAATGCCAACTGGTCCAGCATCTCTGGAAGACAGTAGGGACATAAAACTCAAAATTGGGCTTCCATACAACCCAGCAATACCGCTCTTGGGAATATATCCTGGAGGCACAAAAACAATATGGGAAAGTCATCTGCATGCCTATGTTCATTGCAGCATTGTTCACAGCAGTCAGACTACAAACAATCGGAGTGCCCGAGAACAGAAACTATGGTACATTTGTCTACATAATGGAATACTGTACAGCCGTGAGGATGAAGGAAGTCCTGAAATTTGCTTATACATGGATGGACATGTAGAGTATTATGCTGAATGAAATGAGTCTGAGAGAGAGGAACAGTCATAGAATGATCTCACTCATTTGTGGAATATTAAAAAAAACAAACATCGGGGGCTGGAGAGATAGCACAGTGGGTAGGGAGTTTGCCTTGCACGCGGCCGACTCAGGTTCTATTCCCAGCATCCCATATGATCCCCTGAGCACCGCCAGGAGTAACTCCTGAGTGCAGAGCCAGGAGTAACCCCTGTGCATTGCCGGGTGTGACACAAAAAGCAAAAAAAAAAAAAAAAAAGAAAGAAAGAAAGAAAGACCATTGTATGAAACTAATACTCAAAAACAATAATAGAAATGAGGGCCAGGAGGATGAGTCTATGGTAAGAAGTTTTACAAAGAGGGGGAGTGCAGTTCTGACAGAAAAAGGATAGTTGGAAATGATCACTGTGTACAAGAACTGCGTGCTGAAAGGAGGTAAAGTGATATGCATGATACCCTTTCAGTAACAGTATAATAAATCACAAAGCCTAAAAGAAAAAAGAGAGGAGAAATTTGTATGCCATAGGTGTATGCTGGGGGTGGGAGTGGGGGTGTGAGGGAAACGGGGGATATTTGTAGCAGGAAATACACACTGGTGAGTGGGATGGGTATTGGAACATTGTGTGAATGAAAAATCACAATTTTGCAACTATCTCGGTGGTTCAATTAAAACAATTTTTTTTTGCTTTTTGGGTCACACCCAGCGATGCACAGGGGTTACCCCTGGCTCTTGCACTCAGGAATTGCTCCTGGCAGTGCTCAGGGGACCATATGGGATGCTGGGAATCGAACCCGGGTTGGCTGCATGCAAGGCAAACACCTGCTGTGCTATCGCTCCAGCCCCTAAAATAAAAATTTTAATTGAAAAAAGTATATAGATCCTGTAGTTGCTGCAGTGTGTAAAGAATGCAAAATTTAAGATAAGGTTGCTGAGGACAGAGATTGCACAGGGCACACGTGCACACACATACACACACACACATACACACATCTCCCCGTTGTTAATATTTGGAGCCTGGGACAAGGTTGAGTAGCAGGGGGCAGGGCACATCTGATTAGCATGTATGAGGATCTGGGTTCAAACCTGACACCATGAAAAAACACAAGATACTACAGAGGGTAAAGCCTCGCATGCAACTGGCCTGGGTTCCATACCCAGAATCCCATATGGTCCCCCGAGCCCTCCAGGAGTAACCTCTGAGCATCTTCAGAGGGGGTTGTGGGGTGGCCAAAACCTAGCCAAACACAAGTGTGGTGTTTTTATCATGGATGTTGGCTTGGCTAGCATTGTGAAGAGGTTGTCTGGAGGGGTCTTTTCATGGCGGGCACAGTAGATGTCGCTTACCGGATAGTTCCCTGTGTGGTGCTCAGGGATCCCAGAACCAAGCCACATTGGGAAAGGAACTAGGCCTCATGCCTGCAGCCTGTGCTCCAACCCTGTAAGCCTCTCTCTGCCCCCTGTGGTTTGGGGGCATAACCTGAAACAATCTAAATATTTGATATTGGTGCCACTGTGGCCCAGGAATTTCCCAGCTGTGGAAAGTGTCAAATGTGAGATCAATGATGCTTAACTGAAGCCAGTATTCCTGGCTTTGAATGAGAAGAACCAGTGTCAATTCACTAGGTGCTTGATTTTTGTCTCCACAAAGATGGACCCTAATGCTGACCACCAGCAGAGCGCTGCTAGCACTGACCCACACTCACAGTGTCCATTTTATTGGCTTTTTACTCATTATTCCCAACAAAATGGGAAAGACGAGTAAGGAGAGGCTGCTAAAATCTCAGGGACGAATGGAAACATTACTGATACCCGCTTGAGTAAATGGACGAACAGGTTGGCAGTGATACAGTGATACTCGTTATTGACATTTAAAAAATTCCTAGTGTCCCATTTGCCCCTTTTCTTATTTCTGTGATCATCAGGTCTATTTCATTGTGGAACCGTCCATCGGGAGACTCCCATGTCCAACGTTTAGATTCAGCCTTTTGGAATTGTGAGTTACCATGGAAGGTTTTGGTTGACATGATGAACTCAGACAGTCTGTCACCTTGTTCGTTCCATTCCAGGCCATGGGTTCCAATGTGGAGTTCATCGACTGATCTTCTTGGTCCTATCTTGGCATTAAAATCACCGACAATGATCTTGTAGAAGGTGTGATCTTCTTTATAGAATTTCTCCAGCTCCATGTAGAATTTCTCAGTTTCTTTTTCACCATAACTGGATGTTGGTGCGTAGACAACAAAGATAGAAACTGCCGGTAGTGAGCCACATTTATTCAAGTGTAATCGTCCGATTCGGGTTGTTAGGCATTCAAATGAATCAATGCTTGTGACTAAGTTTGTGTTGACAAGGATACCGACACCACCGACGCCTCTTTTATCACATGTTCCAAGGAACAGTTCTTCTCCAGTGTCGAAAACAGCATGATGGGGTTGATGTCTTCTCGTTTCGGTCAGACCAATGATGTCGTACTTGATCTTTCGTGCTTGTACCATAAGGTCTTCAATGGATGCAGCAGATGCCAGCGTACGAGCATTAAAAGTACAGACAATCATTTTTGTTTTTCTGAGTTTTGGCAGCCCATGTCTGCCTTGGTGTTTTAACAGCTTCTCCTTCCATATCCTTCTCGACTCTGCATAATCAGGGTTAGGGAAATGAGATCCATTTATTACTGGATTTGGCATATCAATTTGGTCTATTTGGCATAGATCACGGATAGCTTGCCAGGCTCTGCCGTGTAGGTTGGATATTTAAGGATATTTAAGGTATCCTGAAAATTATTAAATAAATAGTCGCGCGGCCGCAAATGCGGCCGCGCGCTCCCGGGAGCTTGTTGTGATAATCTTTGGATCCTGGCCTTTGTTGGGGTTACACGGCAGTTGGAGGGTGTAACTGTCTAGCTACTGACAGGTCCAGTCCCAAACCGTGCAGGCTTAGAGATCTCAGTCCCGGGTCCCACACACCTGGGTTCCTCTGCCAGTTCGGTTATGTCTGAGGCTTATCCAAGTGTGTGGAGAGTGGCTCCAGTAAGGCCTTGGTTGGGGCCTGGAAGTCTTCAGCTGTTGGGCCCTGGCGAGGATAGTCAGACACAGGGTAGGAGACTCTGCCTTGTGCTCTCCCGGGAGCTTGTTGTGATAATCTTTGGATCCTGGCCTTTGTTGGGGTTACACGGCAGTTGGAGGGTGTAACTGTCTAGCTACTGACAGGTCCAGTCCCAAACCGTGCAGGCTTAGAGATCTCAGTCCCGGGTCCCACACACCTGGGTTCCTCTGCCAGTTCGGTTATGTCTGAGGCTTATCCAAGTGTGTGGAGAGTGGCTCCAGTAAGGCCTTGGTTGGGGCCTGGAAGTCTTCAGCTGTTGGGCCCTGGCGAGGATAGTCAGACACAGGGTAGGAGACTCTGCCTTGTGCTCTCCCGGGAGCTTGTTGTGATAATCTTTGGATCCTGGCCTTTGTTGGGGTTACACGGCAGTTGGAGGGTGTAACTGTCTAGCTACTGACAGGTCCAGTCCCAAACCGTGCAGGCTTAGAGATCTCAGTCCCGGGTCCCACACACCTGGGTTCCTCTGCCAGTTCGGTTATGTCTGAGGCTTATCCAAGTGTGTGGAGAGTGGCTCCAGTAAGGCCTTGGTTGGGGCCTGGAAGTCTTCAGCTGTTGGGCCCTGGCGAGGATAGTCAGACACAGGGTAGGAGACTCTGCCTTGTGCTCTCCCGGGAGCTTGTTGTGATAATCTTTGGATCCTGGCCTTTGTTGGGGTTACACGGCAGTTGGAGGGTGTAACTGTCTAGCTACTGACAGGTCCAGTCCCAAACCGTGCAGGCTTAGAGATCTCAGTCCCGGGTCCCACACACCTGGGTTCCTCTGCCAGTTCGGTTATGTCTGAGGCTTATCCAAGTGTGTGGAGAGTGGCTCCAGTAAGGCCTTGGTTGGGGCCTGGAAGTCTTCAGCTGTTGGGCCCTGGCGAGGATAGTCAGACACAGGGTAGGAGACTCTGCCTTGTGCTCTCCCAGGAGCTTGTTGTGATAATCTTTGGATCCTGGCCTTTGTTTTGCCTAACCGATGTTGCTGTTGTCCCAAAATTCCAAACGGGATCAGACCACCGTCTTCTTCGTGCAAAATTCTACCTCACAGAACGAGGAGAAAAGAATGCAAGGTTTAAGAAGAAGACTCCCAGAACAACCACCAACTGGGAACTCTTTGGCTCTGTTGCAGCAACATGGGAAGATGCCGTTATTGACAACATTGATGAGGAATACCATCGAATGATTCAGCACCTCCATGATTGTGCAAGGAATGCCAAGAGAGAGATAACCACAAAAAACCGTCTTTCTTCGAACACTCTTGAACTTATTCGCCAACGTGGCATGGCACGTGCCTCAGGCAACCACAAGCAAACGTCCGAACTGGCAAAACAGTACAGAAAAGCCATCAAGGATGACCTCAAAAACAGGAGAGCAGCAGTACTGGTAGATGCAGCAGAAGCTGGGAAAAACATTCGTAATGCCCGCCTGTCCTTCACCAACTACAAAACCAAGATGACTGCCCTCCGACATCATGATGGATCTATCACATCTTCCAGAAGGGCAATGGAGAAGATTATTCATGACTTCTACTCTGATCTCTTTAATAGCCACATCCACTTGCCCACATACCACATACCACATGATGGATATGTCATTCCCAATGTTCTCCCTTCCGAAATCCAACATGCCATCTCGTCGGTAAAGAAACAAAAAGCACCTGGCCCAGACAAGATCAGACCTGAACACCTGAAGAACTTACCATCAGTACTCATCAATACATTAGCTCGACTCTTCACACGCTACCTGTCTGAATGCAAGGTTCCATCCCAATGGAAAACCAGCAAGACTGTACTACTATACAAGAAAGGAGACATCCACGACATTGGCAACTATCGCCCAATCTGCCTATTGTCTGTCATCTACAAACTATTCACTCGAGTCATCCTGAATAGGATTAGCAGAACACTAGATGAAGGACAACCATGTGAACAAGCTGGATTCCGAAAAGGATTCAGTACCATTGACCATATCCACACAATAACCAAGCTCATTGAGGTATCTCGGGAGTTCAAGATGCCGCTCTGTCTAACGTTCATTGATTTAAAGAAGGCCTTTGATTCTGTTGAGACGGAAGCGGTCATGGAAGCCCTAGCCAATCAGGGCGTACAAACTCAATACATCAGGATCCTTCGTGAGCTCTATTGCGGATTCACTACCAAGATCTCACCATTCTACAAAGAAGTAATCATCCATATCAAGAGAGGGGTTCGGCAGGGTGATACCATTTCACCAAAACTCTTCAGTGCCACCCTCGAGAACATCATGCGACGACTAGAATGGGAAAACATGGGAGTGAAGATAGATGGTCGGCAACTACACCACCTCCGCTTTGCTGATGACATCGTTCTAATAACACCAAACATCAGCCAAGCGGCACAAATGCTTGCGGACTTTGACCGTGAGTGTGGAAAGGTCGGACTACAGCTGAATCTTACGAAGACAATGTTTATGAGAAACAGCCTTGTTCCTGACGCTCCATTCGCTCTCAACGGAACCACCATCTCCGAATGCAACAGTTATATATACTTAGGTCGAGAAATCAACATGATGAATGACCTGGCACCTGAGTTACGCAGGAGGAAGAGAGTGGCTTGGAATGCCTTCAAGAGCATTGAAGAAATAACTAAAAGGACAAAGAACCTCCAACTACGAGCACATCTCTTTGATTCCACTATTCTTCCTGCATTAACATATGCCTCAGAGACCTGGACCCTACGAAAACAGGATGAGAACACTATTCGGGTCTCTCAAAGAGGAATTGAAAGAACTATGCTTGGAATATCACGATTCACTCAAATGAGAGATAGAATCCGGAGTTCTGATCTTCGTCAACGCTCAAGAATCAGAGACGCTGTCTCATTTGCCAAGACATCAAAAATCAGATGGGCTGGACATGTAATGAGGTTTACAGACAACCGCTGGACTAGAGCCATTACTGATTGGATTCCACGAGACATCAAAAGATCACGTGGACGCCCACCTATAAGATGGTCAGACTTCTTCGTCAAGACCCTAAATGATCGGTTTGAGGCTCTACATGTTCCTAAAACGAACAGATACCATTGGGCTACGCTAGCACGCAACCGGGATGAATGGAGACGTTACTGGCACCCGCTCGAATAAATCGATGAATAACGGGGATTAAGTGATTAAGTGATTAAGTGATCATCAGGGCCACAGACTCTGGATTGTTTGCCAGAGGTTGCATAGTTGAGGGAGGTATATCAAGCTTCTTTTTTCGTTTTTGACTTTTTTTTTTAAAACTACACCAGCACTGCTAGGGACTGCTGCTGGCTCAGGGGCCAGACAAGGTCAGACATGCACAAAAACTCCAGCTTTTCCAGCTATCTTCCCAGCCCAGAAACTAAACCTCTTAAAACTAATTTCCCGGGAAGCACAAGAAACAGTGCATGCAACATGCAACCCTGGTGGGCTCCCTGCCACCACATATGGTCCCAAATCTTGCGATGAACCTGGCATCTCTTGCACTATTGCTGCAGCTTCTAGGGGAGCCGCAGGCTACTTCAAAACAAAGATTTTATTTTATGAAGGTTTAAAAATGGGCACACATCTACTGTGATGCAGGCTAACAAAACGTTGGAGCTTATTTCCATGCTGTCGTTGAAAAAGGACAATTGACTAATGTGGATACTGCACAAGGGTGTCATTTCCCGCGGGACCAAGGAAAGCCTGTGAAAAATAATGCAACTGACAAGCTAATCTTTCCTTGGGGTCCTGAGACCCGGGAAAGGGGCAGGTGCGGCCCGGCGGTCAGGGGGTGTGCACGCGACCCCCCTCCCACCGCCAGCCCGGCCCACGTGGCCTCGCGCTCTCGCCCACGTGCCGGCCCGCGCCTGCGCGCTGCAGCCTCGCGGGCGACGTGACGCGCCGGGCCGCGGCAATGGCGGCGGGCCGGGGCCGCGCTTGCCCCCCCGGCCATGGCAGCGTCTTTCCGCCGGCGCGAGCCCGGAGCGGCCGGGACGGCCGCGCTCCGCAGCCCGCCACAGGGCGCCCCCCGAGCCGCAGCGCCTCCCGCACTGCGAAAACCGCTCGGAGACCCGGGCCGGCGCCCGCGGCGTCCGCTCGGGGCGGCCCGCACCGATTGGCTCTGGAGCGCGACCCGCCCCTCCTCCGCACCTTCATTGGCCGAAATGGGTCCGCGTAGGGGGAGCCACGGCGCCCTCCGCGGGCTCCTATTGGCTAAAACCTGCGGGCTCTCGTTCTCGACGCTCCCATTGGCCGGCGCGGCTCCGGGGGCGGGGCCGCACCGAGGGCGACGACAACAAAGGGCGGCGGGCAGCGGTGACCGCGTCTACCGGTGCTGCCCAAACCTCCCGGCTGGCCTCCCGCCGCCCCGCTCCAGATGAAGTGTGAGCACTGCACGCGGAAGGTGGGTCCCGCGCGCTGGGCGCCCGCCGGGTCGGGCCTAGGTCAGGGTCGGGGTTAGCAGTCCGCGGCCGGGCTCGTCCGGGCTGGCCAGGGCTGACCAGCGCTGACCAGCGCCCGGCCAGGGGCAGCGGTGGCCCCGTGCGCCCGCACCCGGCCGCCCAGCACGCTGAGCTGCCCCCGCGCTCGCCCTCCCGCCGGGAGCCTACTGCAGGGGCCGCTTTGGAGTTGGGCAGAGGTCACCTGACTCTGCGTGCCTTCCTCCCGCGGTCAGCGGCTCTGCCGCCCGGGGTGCTCGCATCAGCCGGGTTGTGTAATGCGCCCTAGCCCCGTGGCACGGTGGCAGTTGCCCTGTGTCAGCCGTGCCGAGCCGCCCGCCAGGACCGCCCGGGAAGGACGCAGGGACCCTGTGGGTGGGTGCCAGTCTCCTGCCCTGGAGGGGGCCCTAGCGGAGGGAGCGTCTCCCAGGGAGCGTCCAGCGTTGTGTTGTGTTCCTTGCTCCTCTCCAGGAATGTAGTAAGAAATCTAAGACCGAAGACCAGGAGGATGCAGCCGACGATGTCCCTAGTTTGGCCCAGGAGAATGGAGAGGTGAGTAGACACTGGGTGCCGGGTCAGCCTGCGGCTGCCACCCCTGTCCTCCCCACCCGGCACCTGAACTCACCCAGCCCCTGAGATGGCCCCTAGACCCATGGCAGTTACACTTGCCTCTTTGGTGAGGAAAGCCCTGTGCTGTGAATGGGTGTCCAGGGAGGCGACCAGGGAAATGGCTCCTACTCCTGGTCTGCGGCTTTGCTTCCCAGTGCTTCCTCTCAAACTCACCGCTGAGGCTTCCTGGCCGCGCCAGCAGTGTCTGCACCAGATTCCTGCTCTCACCCTGGTGCCCTGTGTTTCCATCTCAGAGGGAGCAAGCCTAGTGTGGCGCTCCTGAGAACATAGTCCGGGTCTGCAGCGTGGAGCAGGTGGTCGGCTTCTTGGCAGCTCTGTGTCCTGCCTGTTCCCATGGTCCCCAGCCACACGTCCACTCTGGAGTCCCTTATCTAGCCGTGTGGAGTTGGGTGTCTGCCAGGGCCTGGTGAGGCTGATAACGCAGCGCGGGGCCTGGCCTCCAGCCTGCCAGCCCAGTGGGTGGACTCCTCGTGGGGGCCTACGGTGGGGTGTGCCACTGGACAGGGTGCTCCCAGGGAGGAGGGGTGGGCAGGAGGGGAGTAGAGGGGATCTGAGGTGCGGGTCAGAGGGTGGGCTGCTGTGGTCCCAGGCTGCAGGGGAGGGGCCACATGTGTGGCTCGTTTGGTCCCAGATGCAGAGCAGGTAGAGGAAGCTGAGGCGGCCAGTGGTGTCTGGAATATGCACATCCCAGCGGGATTCCCAGAGCAGCTCAGTAGCATCCGTTTGGCACCAACTGTGTGCCAGGCGCTGCCCCTGACAGATTCTGGTGGGTGAGGCCGTCCCAGAAGGTGCCTTACTGTGGCACATGTGGGAGAAGGTTGGGGGCCACGTGCCATTCCTGTTTGGAGGTACAGGGAAGGGAGAACCCAGCCTCGGGTCCTGGTGATGGAATGGCTGCAGTGGTCCTGCGCCCAGAAGCACCCGCCACACTTGGTGAGCACGTTCGTGTCCCAGCGTGCAGAAGAGACCCCACCCGAGCCGCAGAGCTGAGCAGAGCTTCCGCCCCCTTCTGTGAGGGTCTGCGCAGGAAGTGCTGGGCCAGCAGGGCCATGCCTGTGTCTGGGGTTGCCGCGTGAACCGCTGTGGGTGTCAGCACGTGGGCTTGTTGGGCCAGCTCCAGGCATCTGGGGGCTCCAGAACGAGGAGGGGAGAGAAGGACGGGGAAGGTCAGACACAGTGTGACCTTCATCTGTGTGACTTTGCCACCTGCCGAGACCAAGACTAGGCCCATGTCCCCATGGCATGCACATGCCCACTGGTCCCTGTCCCTGCAGCACACACACAGTCACTGTCCTGTGTTCCATGGCACGCACATGCCGCTGGCCTATGTCCCCACAGCACTCATACCCGCCGGCCCGTGTCCCCGCAGCACACATGGCATGCACATACCTGCAGGGCCGTGTCCCCGTAGCACACACACATTTACTGTCCTGTGTCCCCATGGGAAGCACACACCTGCTGTTCCACGTCCCCACAGCATATACACACGCCCTCTGGCCTGTGTCTCCACGGCACTCCCTCACCCACTGGCCCTATATCCCCGTGTCCCCGCAGCACGCACACACCAACTGCCCCGTGTCCCCGCGGCTCCCACACCCCTGACCCGTGTCCCCGCGCCTCCCACACCCGCCGCCCCATGTCTCGTGGTGTGTCTCATGGCATTTGGTGGCGGCTTTGCTCCCTGCCGAGCTCATGTTACACAGCCTGCAGGGTGAGTAGGAGAATCAGGTCAGATACTTTCTTTTGTAGAAGGGAGAGTTCCACAAGTTGGCCGAGGCCAAGATCTTTCTGAGTGACTGCCTGGCCTGTGACAGCTGCATGACGGCAGAGGAAAGCGTCCAAGTTTCCCAGCAGAACACCAAGGGCTTCTTCCGAGTTCTGAACCTCAATAAGGTACAGTGACTGGGCACCTGTGGGCACTGTGGCAACTGCCAGGCGAGGCCTGTAAGCCTCTCATCCTGACCTTCAAGAGCAGACCCCTTGGTGTGCTCCCTCGCTGTGCTCCCTTGCTGCCTGGGCAGTGGCTGTGTCCAGCACCCTCGGCGGGCTTCCTGGTGGTGGTGGCATGGCGGAGACGGGGCGTCTGGCAGGCTGGACCTCCGCCATACAGTGGTGGTGATCCAGCGTGGCTCTGCAGAGCCTGGGTGCGACCCCTGAGCACTGATGCCTGTGGGGCCCCGAGGCAGGTGCCCTGAAAGCCGCAGTCCTCAATGCTGCTCTCAGCCTCCATGCTCTGCGTGCCATCTCTGGCTGGGGTCTCCCCGGCAGTGCGGTGCCCACGGTGCCCAGCCTGCTGCCCATTCTGCCCTGGTACACTTTGTACCCAGAGCACCAAACTCCCACTCAGTGCAAGGGCTATTCCAGGATGTGTCTGCCCAGTGACCCCATGAGTGGAAGCAGGCGCATGGCGTGGTGGGCCTGGGAGGCCATCAAGAGTGGCGGACCCCCTGCGCTCCCACTTGGCAGCTCTGTCCTCCCGGAATGCCTGAAAGACCTGAGTGGGGCTGGGACCGGGCCTGCGGAACCCGCATTGACAGCCTCTGGCACGGCAAGGGTCTGGTGCAGTGGCCTCACCCACAGCAAGTCCTCAGCCTCTCCTGACTCTGGGCGGGGTCGGAGACCTGCCTGTCATCCAGGGCCAGTGCGGGCCGCTTGTCGCTCACTCGCGTGGTGAGTGGGACACCAGCCAGCCCTGTCTACTCAGTGCTGGGGCCCCCTGCCACCCCCTGCCACGAGGCCCTGTCCCACTGGAGTGGTTGAGATTTCACTCTCACTATGGGTTTTCTGTTCGAACTTTTCTTGGCTTTCTTTTATTTTTATTCTGGGGCCACACTCGCCATGCTGAGGGGTTACTTTTGGTTCTGTGCTCAGGCATCATTCCTGGTTGGCTCCAGGGACCTTATGGGGTGCCAGCGATCGCACCTGTGTCTGCTGTGTGCCAGGCAAGTGCCCTCCCCACTGTCCTATCGCTCTGCCCCCTGGTGCTTTGTTCTTTCTCAGGTTCTTGGTTTTGCACAAGGTGCAGGGCTCTCTGCATTTCAGGAGTGGGTCAGTCTGGCAGGAGATGCTGCTAGACCTGGGCAGTCCTGTCAGGGAGGGGTCTTGTCTTGCAGCCTGATAGTGATTGGGTCCGGGCTCGTTGTCATGCTGGTGACATGTTGCACTCTTGAGAGGAGGAGGTGGGCTCCTGCTGGGAAGCCCCTTCCCTGCCCCTGTGGCCCATTTTTTTCTAGAACTTTGGTCATTGGAAAGCCAGTGAATGTCCTATTAGGTCAGTGGCTATTTTGTAAGTGTGATTTTGAATAATTTTGCTTGTTTCTCTGGTTTGGGGTCCATCCCTGGCTCTCTTCAGCAGTGACCCCTGGGGGGTCTGGGGGACCTTGTGCAGTGCCGGGCACTTGAACTGGGGTTGGCAGGGTGCCACGCAGTACATGAATGGAGCTGCGTGTTCTCATCACGCCTCAGCCATGGGACGTGTGCTGGTTGAGTGTGACAGTGGCGTCCCCCGCCACAGCCCCTCTGGCTCTTTGTGGCCGTGTCTCTGATGGCAGTGGCGCCGTGAGGTCCTGGTGTGTCACTGCTCTCAGCATGGTTCCCTGCTTGTAGGACAGTGCCCAGACCCTGCTAGGTCATGCTGGATGGCATCCCTGCTGCAGGTGACCTTTCCGGTTCAGGAGGGGCAGTCGGTAGGTGACGGCTGCCTCCTGCCTTTAGCTGCCCCCATTTCTCAGCTATGCCACCCTCAGCTCCGTCCTGCACACTCCCTGGCGTGAGTCCTGTGAGAGAGAGCTGGGAGGTCGGGTCTGACCCGCCTGGGTGCCGGCAGCTGGGTCCTGCACTTGGCTGACTGTCCTGCTGGGTGGTCTCAGGGCAGCCTAGAGCCGTGTGTGTCCTGTTCGCCTGGCTGTGCTTGTTGAGTCGGTGTCACTGCCGCCCCCTGCCCCCCCCCCCCCCCCCCCGGTTCTGGGGCTCTGCATGGTTCATGCCTGGTTCCTCTTGGGCTCTTGTTAGCCTATGCTTATTCGGGGGTTGGGGGACTTGGGCCACTCTTGGTGGTGCTGGGGATGGTAGCAGCACCAGGCATCTGCACTGGCCCCAGGGGTGCTTATCTCGAGCTGTGCTGGAGAACCCCTGAGGAACGGGGAGTGTGGGCCGCATCTCAGCAGTGGCTCAGTTTTGCTGATGGACAGGGTGGGCTGGAGGCTGGTCTCTTCAACACATACGATTAATGGAAATACGTCTGAGTGTTTCTCTTACGCCTTATTCCCCTTGTTTGTGGCCAGTATCGTACTTTGTGTCTTCACTTTAAAATGACCACAGAAGGGCTAGAGCGATAGTACAGCAGATAGAATGTTTGCCGTACATGCAGCTGACCCTGCATCCCCATAATCTCCAGCATCCCATATGGTCCCCCCGGCACCGCCATAAGTATTTCCTGAGTGCAGAACCAGGAGTAACCCCTGAGCATCACTGGGTGTGACCCAAAAAGCAAAATAATAAAATAAGCTAACCATGGGCTAGAGAGATGATATAGCCGGGAAGACAAAGGCAGGACATTCAGGGACCCAGCTTTGAGTCTGGTACCACAGGGCCTCTCCGGTATCCCCAGCTGTGGCCCTGGATGCCCCCGCACCCAAGGGCCCCACAGCACCACAGCCTCGGGCCCACACCTTGAGCTGCCAGCCTGCCAACTCTAATAATGAATTCACGATCCATTTATCCGAGGCTGGGGAGATAGCGTAAGGACTGTATTGCTCACTTGGTCTGCCAGGGGTCTGGGTTCAGTCCTTAGTACCACTGTTGGCTCCTTGAACATTGTGATCCCAAGCACTGCCAGGCGTGTCCCTACACAAACCAAAAATACACACATACACCACACACACAGCAACACACACGTATGTACACATAAACATGGTTTCTCCGGATACCCACGTTGACCCTTGAAGTATCACTCTCAAAGGCCTCATGCTTAGGATTCCAGTCTTATCATCTCTTTGGTATGTGCGCGCGGGTTGTCTGTCTTCTGCAGACCCGCCCCCAGATGTGAGCACCCACAGACTTGTCCTCTTCTCCCTGCAGAAATGCGACACCTCAAAGCACAAGGTGCTGGTGGTGTCCGTGTGTCCTCAGGCTCTGCCTTACTTCGCTGCTAAGTTCAGCCTCAGTGTGACCGATGCATCCAGGAAACTCTGCGGCTTCCTCAAAAGTCTAGGTGAGTAGAGTTCATGCCCAATTCAGTCAGCTAATCAGTGGCTGAATAAATAGCAGTATTCATACATAAAAAAAAAAATAAAAGTAAACTCAAGTGTCAGAAAAAAAAAGTCTAGGTGAGGCCCCTTTAGGTGTTGTGGATCAGTTGCGTGAGTCTGTACCTTGGCCCATGACCCCGTGACCTCTCGAGCTCATTCGTGAAAGATCAGAGTGAAAGGAGCACCTGTGAGAGCTCGGGGGCGTCACTCCAGCCATCTGATGGTGTGTCGGACAGTCACAGACTCACGTGCGCTGATGCAGACAGCTGTCCCATCACTGCGGGCAGCACCAGCGGGGCCATCTGCCAGCCCGTCACTTCACAGCAGCTTTGGGAGGACACCACATGACTCTAGAGCCATTGCAGCCTCCTGCTCCTGGCCTGTCCTTCCTGTCGTCCGCTTTTATTTGTATCATCTGGGCTTGTGGCCACACCTGGTGGTGCTGGGAATGAAGCGCCCTCCCCACTGTGCTCTCTGCCCGCCCTTGCCCCCACCTCTGCTTCATGTTCAGGAGGTTCAGTCCAAGATGACAGCATGAGACTTGATTTCACAGGCAGCTGGAGGAGGCTGCTGTGAGCCCCACAGGCCCTGGCAATTCTTCGTGTTTTTGTAGACACAGACGTGGAGAGAGAAGGCGTGTTTCATGAGCGGTCCCATGACCACACTGTCAGGCTGAGCACAGACTATCCCAGGAGGCCCTGGTCCTGTGTGCTGAGCCACACACACTGCCCGAACTTCAGGCAGGGAGGGGGGCCACAAGTAGGGCTCCACGCGTGCCACGCTGAGTGTGCCCCTTCTTCCTGCAGGGGTGCACTATGTGTTCGATACAACAATTGCTGCCGATTTTAGCATCCTGGAGAGTCAGAAAGAATTCGTGCATCGGTACCGTCGGCACAGCGACAGAGAGGCCACGCTACCCATGCTGACTTCTGCCTGTCCTGGTGAGTGCCAGCTATTGGCCAAGAGTGGGACAGGGGAAAAAAAAAAACAGGAAAAAAAGAGCAGGACAGAGCAGGAAACCAGAACCTTCCTGAGCTCTGGATGCTTGGGAGGTACCCTGGCAGCTCAGCATTTTCTTCTCGTTGCACTTTTGTACTTCCAGAGGCTCTGAGTAAACATAGTCTGTGTTAAAAGTTGGGCCAGAGCAGTAGGGCAGTGGGTAGGGTCCTTGCCCTGCACACGGGTTCAGTCATCATGTGGTGATCCCCTGAGCCCTGCCAGGAGTGATCCCTGAGCTCAGAGCCAGGAGTAAGCGCTGAGCACAGATGGTGTGGCCCCCAAGCCAGAAAAAGAATAGTCATATTGGCACCAGAGTGAACAGTGCAAAGGGTAAAGTGCTTGCCTTGCATGCTGCCCACTGGGTTTCGTCTCTGGCATTGCATATGCCTCACTCCACCAGGAGTGATGCCTGAGCACCGTCGTGTGTGACCCCTAAACCAACCCCCCCAAAAAAAATCGCGGCATTTCATGGGCCAGTGTGATACATAGAGAATAAGGCACCTGCCTTGGCATATAGCTGACCCTTGTTTGGTCCCCAGCACCACAGTGGGTCCACTGAGCCCCACTGATTGTGGTCCCCCAAAATAAGATGACACGGGGCTGGAGCAATAGCTTAGTGGATAGGGCATTTGCCTTGCACATGGCTGACCTGGGTTCGATTCCCAGCATCTCATAGGATCCTCTGAGCACCGCTAGGAGTGATTCCTGAGGGCAGAACCAGGAGTAACTTACTCCTGTGCATCACCGGGTGTGACTCAAAAAGCAAATAATAATAATAATAATAATAATAATAATAAGAAGAAGAAGAAGAAGAAGAAGATGGCACTTTGGTCATTGGATAATGATAGCATGGCCTACCTGGTTGGTGGGTTCCTGTGGCCCACAGATGCCCACGTCCCAGGAGTGTCCCAGCCCGTCCAGAGACGGCTAAGCCTGGTCCAGGTGTCTGAGGGACTGTCCGTCCTGAACACCAGGCAGTCTCACAGGCTTTCCAGATGGAAAGTTCTGAACTGTGTTGAAGCCCACTTGTAGGGCACTCTGGCAGGGCCATGCCAGTGGGAGCAGGGGAGGCACCCCATGGGGTGCCGTCAGTTTGGGATTTTGTTCTATTTCTGTGTTCCCTGTCCCACTTGTTGCTTTCTTTAAATCTTTTTTCTCTGTTTTTGGGGGTCACACCTGGTGAAGCTCAGGGGCTACTCCTGGATTTGTACCCAGGAATCACTCCTCTTGTGCTCAGGGGCCCATAAGGGATGGGGGATCGAACCTAGGTTGGTCATGTGCTACCGCTCCGCCCTCCCCCTCTCCTTGCATTGGATCAGCATTGCTCTGCGAGGGAGCTCTGATGATGTCCACGGCATGGTCCTTAGATGTCAGGGGCTGCTTTGCACTTCATGGTGGGAGGAGGTTGGGTCTGGGGCCACGCATTGCAGTGCAGGGGTGGCCTCTGCGGTTTGGGGCGTGGCTCAAAGGCCTCTGCCCACTGAGGTGTGCTGTGAGGTACCTGGGCTTTCAGACCACAACCCCCTCCCCAGAACTCGGGGCTGTGGGCTGGCTACTTCATCGTAACTCCTAGTGTCCTCTGCTCTGGGGGCCACCCGGGGCCAGCAGGGACCCCTGGTCTTCTGCCTAATGACACCTGCATTGGGCCTCTCTGTAGGTTGGGTTCGATATGCTGAGCGAGTGCTGGGGGACCCCATCACCCCCCACCTTTGCACCGCCAAGTCCCCCCAGCAGATCATGGGCTCACTAGTGAAGGACTTTTTCGCCAGGAGGCAGGTAAGCTGACTGATGACCCTTGACCTCTGAGTGCCCATGCCCCTCCTGGCCTTCCAGCGTCCCTGCTGCATCTCTGCTCTTTGGAGGACAGGCCGGGGGCTTCTCAGCCTAGGGGCTCCAAGTGACTGCCATGTGTGCCCTGCTGCCAGTGTTGGTCTGTGCGGGGAAGGAGTGGCGCCTGGGGACAGTCCAGTGGGCCTGTACAGGGCTGTGGGAGGGACGGCGCTGGGCAGCACCCACCAGCTCGGCTGCTCCTCCCGCAGAGCCTGCCCCCAGACAAGCTCTTCCACGTGGTTGTGGCCCCCTGCTATGACCGGAAGCTCGAGGCCCTCGGGGAAGACTTCCGGGGCGCCGACTGTGTGCTGACCTCAGGTGAGGGCCGGCCTTGTGGAGCGACCCCCGGAGTAAGGAAGGTTCTGGCCCCCCGTGACCCAGACGTGGACTCTGGGAGCCCCGGGTTGCGCATGAACAGCCCCCACTGGTCGGGCCCTGCCGGCCCCTGCACCAGCCTGGGCGGGGAGGGCAAGACCTGGGCTATGCATGTCTGACCCTGGGCTCCGCCATGGCCCTGCCAGAGCAGAAGCATTCAGGGACTGGTGGGGTAGGGTGCTGGCCTTGTGCACAGCTGACCCAGGTTCAATCCTTAGCACCAGTAGGGTGCCCCGAGCCTGCCAGGAGTGAATCTTGATTACTCTTGGTGTGGCACCAAAACCAAAACAGAAAATTACTGAAGTGGGTGAACTTGAAAACTGGAGGTCACAGGTACTCGTGAAGCTCTTGGGCCAGTCAGGACCCCCCCAGTGCAGGCTCTTGGGCATTGGGTCCAGCCTCTGCATCAGGGTTCCACAGGCTCCTAGAGGTGGTCCAGCACCCCGGGGTTCATGTTTGCCACCAGCCTGTGCACCCCTGGAAATCAGCTCTGGGTTTTCCTGGGACCCTGACCTCAAGGGAACAAACGGGGGGAGCCCCCCTGGCAGGTCTGTGCAGATCCCACCGTCCACAGTTCTTCTGGGAGGAGAGATGGGTGGGTGAGCATCACCGCAGCCTTGGCGAGAAGGCACGTCCCTCAGTGTCCCTGGGGGCGGCCAGCAGCTCCCGGTCCTACCTGGCACTTTCAGGTCGGCAAGGGCGGTGCTTCCTTTGCCTCACACCCACGACCTGTCACAGGTGAAGTTCTTCAGATGATGGAGAAGAGTGACCTGGCGGTGAGGGACACGGCCATGGACACATTGTGAGTGGGCCTGCAGGGGATGGCGGGGTGCCTGCTCCTGCCCCTATGGTCCCCGTGGACCTGTGTATGTCCTCAGGGCAGGAAGGGTGAGAGGGTGAGTGCCATAGGTTACTGACTGGTTCCCACACTGGCAGTGGGTCAGACCAGAGCGGGAGACTGTCCACGCTGCGGCCATTTGTGGCGGTGACCGTGGGCCCTGAGCTTGTGGAGGGGCCTGAGTCTAGCTGTCCCTTGCTGTGTCCCCTGAGGTTCGGGGACCTGGAGGAAGACCTGAGGCGGCACGACGGGGCCCGCTCCGATGGCTACCTTGCACACATCTTCAGACACGCGGCCAAGGAGCTGTTCAATGAGGACGTGGGGGAGGTCACCTACCGTACCCTGAGGTCAGCTGTGTGGTCAGGGGTGGGGTCCTGGCATGGAGCTGGGCTGGAAAGTGACCCGCCTCTGTGGGCTCTTCCCACAGGAACAAAGACCTGCAGGAGGTCACCCTGGAGAAGGAGGGCCAGGTCCTGTTACGCTTCGCGGCTGCCTACGGCTTCCGGAACATTCAGAATGTGGTCCTGAAGCTGAAGAGGGGCAAAGCCCCTTACCATTTTGTGGAGGTCCTGGCCTGCCCCGGGGGTAAGATGCTCAGGGCTGGGCAGGTGCCTGGCCCGCCTACAGGCAAGGGAGGAGTTCTGGGAGGTGAGAGCACGGTTGGGGTCCAGGAGCAGGGGAAGGACAGGCCACACTTGTCTTCCAGGGTGCCTGAATGGCCGTGGCCAAACCCACTCAGAGGACAAGGTGCTGCTGGGCCAGATGGAAGCCCTGTACGCTGCGGTCCCGGTGCGGGCCCCTGAGAGCAGCGCCCACGTGCAGCAGCTGTACCGCGAGTGGCTGGACGGTGCTGACTCCCCCAGAGCCCGGGAAGCCCTTCGCACGGCACACCAGGGACCCCCTGCCAGCAGCCGGGACATCAAGTGGTGAGGGGAGGTGAGTCCGGGAGTGGTGTCCCAGCCCTGAGCGGCTTCTCGCAGCCTCTGCCTCTCGCGGGGCTGTTCCCGCTGAGCTAATCCTTGTTCTCAAGTGTTTCATTCAGCCAGTGTCTCCTTTTCACTGAACCTGCTGACAGCCCAGCAGGGACGGGCTGCTGCCTCGGGAGAAACGCCAGGCCCCACTGCCCAGACTGGGTCCCCGAGATTCTGGGGCGGAAACGTTGTGGGCGGCAATCCTGGCCATCCCAAGTTCATTCTTCTGGTTTGGTGCCACACCAGGCAGTGCTCTGGGCTTACTCCTGGCTCTGCTCTCAGGGATCACTCTTGTCAGGCTTGGCGGATCATGTGGGGTGCTGGGGATCAAACCCTGGTCAGCGCCCTGTCTGCTGTACTGTCTCTGTGGCCTCTTAGCCACTTAAATCACCCTTGGCATTGTGCCATATGTGACTCCGATACCCTTTTGGACATGAACAGGTCCGTGGAAGTGGGTTTGTTTGTGGGGCTGGAACAGTAGTACAGCAGGTAGCGTGTTTGCCATGCACACGGCTGACCCAGCATCCCGAGCAGTGGCATGAGTAATTTCTGAGTGCAGAGCCACGAGTAACCTTGAGCATCACCAGGTGTGACCCAAAAAGGAAAAAAAAAAAAGAAGATGTGGGTTTGCAGGTCTTTAAAGGGCCTCTGGGGTAGCACTCCGGGTGGGGCACTTGCTTCGCACACAGTCAGCCACACTAGTTCCTTCCCATACCACATAGTGCTGGCTGAACAGAGCCTGGCCAAGGGCGATCCCTGAGCACTGCCGGTCTGGCCCCTGAATGAAAATAAATAGTGAAAGTCTAAATCCTGGGACTGGAGTGCCCTGTAGGTCCCCAAATTCCCACTTTTCATTCAGTCTCTGCAGAGGAGGCAGCCGTGAGGATGGCCAGCACAGCCAGAGATGGATGAGGACATCTGCCCCCTCTCCAGAAGGATCAGCTGGGCCACCGCACCCTCCCGGGGACTGTCCCTCACTCGGCTCATGAGCACTTTGCTGGGATGTCAGGAGGGTCAGAGGGTTGGAGCCGGTCTCCCTGGATGCCTTCAGGCGAGGGTCTGCCCAGGTGCCTGGGAAACAACGCACTTAGTGGTGACACAGGTGGTGACACTGGACCCTGTGGTGCCCTTTGTCCTGTCGCGACTGTCTACTCTGGGTTCGTAACTGGATATGTGGCGTTAAATGATCTATTTTCTGCTTTTAATCTGTGTACAATTCTGTTGTACCTGCTGTGATGACTGTGAATAAAGGTTGAAGTGTGTGCGTGAGCGTGTAGCTGCCGTGCCAGGACCACGTGTGCCTAGAAGAGCCAGAGCCCTGGTGCCAGGCGGGTCTCCGCTTTGGGGTCCGGTTTGGCCACATCTCATTGAGGGTCACTGTCATGCAGAGCCCTGGGAGCAGCAGCCAGTGAGGGTCTGGCATGAGCGTGTGCTACGGAAAGGTGCACGTTCTCACCTGCACACAGCGTGCCAGGGCCTCCCCCTCTGTGATACAGGCTGTCTACACAGTGCCAGGCCTGAGAGTTCTGGTCCACGTCCTCTGCTTTGCTGCAGCGGGGCTGGTGCCAACCTGCTGCCCTCCAGGTCTGATGGTGGTCCAGGGTGGGGCGGGAGGCAGCCCCATGACATGGGCACCGGCAGCTCCTGCCATGCTACGAGGCCAGGCCTCGCTGTGTCTTGTCCAATTGTGGGAGGGCGCAGACCCACTGGGCAGCCCAGCCACCCTCTCCACTCTGTATGCTTTCATTCGGGACCACAGCCCGTGCATGCTGAACAGAGGAACTGTGACTACCGGGGCACAGGGGCATGGCATGCCGCGCTCCGTGGATCAGGTTGGTATGGTTTGTCTCAGGTCCCCTGTGGGCTCTGTGGGGACCATGCCAGGGCCAGGTGTGAGCACCACCCTAGCCCCATGCCATGTTCTGAAAAGCAGGTATGCAGGTGCTAGGACTGAAGCTTAGTTGAGGAGCAGGAAGAAGCTTTCATTTGTACACAGATGTTTATGCCTTTTTCCATCTTCCCTGCCCAGAAGGGGGTGAAGACATTGTTGGAAGAAGGTCCTCATGTGGCTGCTGCTACTCCTGGAACCTGTCTTGTGTCTCTAGGGTGACTGCACCTAGGGGTGCCCAACAACATCTCTTGCCAAGTGTCTTGAGCACCTGTCCTGAGAAGCCCCAGACATCGAGACCAGAGCCATAGTACAGCGAGGAGGGTGCTGGCCTTGCAATTGTCCAACCCACATTTGATCCTGGGCACCCCACGTGGTTCCCCGAGCCCTGCCAGGACTAAGTTCTGAGTAGACAAGTGTTGCCCAAAACCCAAAAAGCACTGCTGGGCTGGCCAGAAGTCTGGTGGAGATGCTGTCGGAGCTGAGCACCCAGAGTGAGGGCTCTGAGGTTGTGAGAGATGGCAGCTTTTTAAAGGGTCTACCTCAGTGACCAGGAGTGCAGGGTGCAGGACGGTGGTGCCAGTGTGCCAGAGGTCACACTTGAGGTCTTGCTGGTGCCATGCTGGCCCCACTGGTTGTGAGCACTTCTCCAGGCCACCCTGCTTCCTGGTTGTGAATGACGGGTCAGCCCTGTTGGTTGTCCAGGGGGTGCCCCTCAGAAGAAAGAGATTTCCCTTTCAAATTGTTTTCAATGAATTTTGTTTTTCAGAGCTGGGAATCAAACCCAGGCCCTCCCTCCCTGAAATGCTCAAGAAATCTCTGAATCTGGCCTTTTCTTGTTTAGAAAAGACTATATATATTTTAAATGAATTTCCCAAGGAAGGCTGGGTTTCCTGGGAGGGGAGCTGACACTGCTGGTGGGTGTGGAATTGGGAAATTCAGGCTTGAAACACTATTATTAACAGTACTTAAATCATGATGCTGAAAAAAAAAAGGCAGGCCTGGGAGTGTAGGCATGATACAGCATCCTCATGGGACAGAGGCACTGGTTAGGTCCCCAGTACCGCAAACTTAGGAAGCAACCTCAGTGGAGAGTGCAGTGGGGAGAGGACTTACTTGCCTTGCATGTTGGTGACCCCATTTTGATATCTGGGACCTCATGAGCACTGCTAGGTGTGGTCTCAAGACACGAACAAACCTCATAGCTCTAAATGTCTGTATTCCTGGACAGTATGTTGGTGTGATACTTTGCAGGGACCCCTCACCTGAAAGTGGTTCGGGAGAAACTTGCCTTCACTTACCTTCCCTTAACTAGCCTCAATGGTCAGAAAACTTCCACAGGAGACTACACTCACTGACACATATTACAAAGAGTGTTAAACCACAACCGAGTGTAAGTCACTGATGGTATGCATCCCATTTAATGTGTGTTAAGAGAAAAGGTGGCTGGGGATGTGGCTCAGTGGTAAAGCACACGCCTTGCATAGGTGAGGTCTTCAGTTCCACCCCCATCACTTGCCTTGCATTGGCTACTTCTGCCCTCCCTGGATCCATCCCAGGTACCATTTTTGGTTGCTCCCTGGGGCAATGCCTGAGGGCAAGAGCTAGGAGTAAGTCCTCACTACTGCTGGGTGTGGCCCCAAAACAAATCTTGTTGTTCAGCCCTGTTACCTGAGGAAAAGAATATGGCCTGCCAGAGTATGGTGGGTGAGCACAGAGGGTCATCATTCAAATTCCATGCTGTTTGCAACTGAAGGTGTGGTTGCTGCCTGCGCCCCAGCACTACAACTTATTTTTAAATTTGGGGGCCTCAAGATTCACTTTTGGCGGTGCTCGGGGGACCATATGGGATGCCGAAGATCAAACCCAGGGGCAGCGTGCAAGGAAGTGCCTGACCTGCTGTAAGATCACTCTGCCCCAAGCACCACTGCAGCTTCTGGCTCTGCACGGCCAGGTGGCAGAGAACCAGGTTATCAGTCACATAGACAATGCAGGCCAAGGGGAAGTCAGGGCGGGGGTATGGCTGTCTAGGGCACCAGCTAGGCGTACAAAGCCCTGGGTTCACTTTAACAAAACGCTGGGAAGAGGTATAAACTGTTCCCCTAAGAACATGTTTAGCCACACCTGGCAGAGCTGGGGGGAGGGCACGATGCGGTGCCCAGCACAGAATCATAGAATCGGGGCAGGCCTTGCCCATAGCAAGCGCTTTAACCCCCTGTAACTCTCCCAACAGGTTTTTTTTTTTTGCTTTTTTGGGGTCACACCCGTTATTGTACAGGGGTTACTCCTTGCTCATGCACTCAGGAATTACTCCTGGCAGTGCTTGGGGAACCATATGGGCTGCTGGGAATCAAACCCGGGTAGGCCACGTACAAGGCAAACGCCCTACCCGCTGTGCTATCACTCCAGCCCCCTCCCAACTCTCATTTTGAGTTTTCTTTTGTTTGCTTTGGGCCCCAGGCTCCGAGCCCACGGCTCGCTCGTGGCCAGGCACCGGGACCATGCCGGGCGCCGGCCCCGCTTGTCGGCCGCTCCTAACAAAGCCCTGTGGGCGGGAAGCCGCCGCGTCGGGGCACTCCGTGCGGGCCGAGACCCGAACCCCACAGGTGTCGGCTCTCCGGGGCATCGGGTCTCGGGGAAGAGACATACGGGCCTTAGGGAGCGAGTCGCGCGGCTAGCAGCAGCCTCGGCCAAGCCGGGGGCGGCCGCACCCACCCTGCAAACGCCAGCACGCGCGGGCTCCGGGCGGAAACTGGCGCGAGGCGATCCGCCGCAGACCCAGGACTTCCGCTCGCCCGCCGGGGATGACGTCACGTCCGGCCCCGCCGCTCCGCGGGCGGGCGCCGCGACTAGATCGGGCGTCTGGGCGTGGACCGCGTCGGAACGGCTCTGTCCAGCTCGTGTCGGAGCTCCAGCTCCGCGGCGGAGGCTCTGCCGGCCACAGCAGCTGCTCGTGCTGGTTGCGTCGGTGCCGCCCACCTGGGCGCGCCCGCCCCCGCCCATTTTCCCCGCGCATGCGTGGATGCCCGTCCCGCGCCGCGCACGCGCGCTTCTGCACGCGCGCTCGGCGTCCGCGAGCCGGCTGGTCTCGGCCTGCCGCGTACGGCCTGGGGAGATGCTCGGCGGCTGCGCATCCTCTTGTCTCGGGCGGCCCTAGCTCACGTGCCTGGTGGCAGCTGGCTTGGCACCTGGCTGGGGCCCCGGCTCCCGCACCCACGCGCGCTGTCCAGTCCCCTGGACGTTTTCTTCAGCAGTGGGTATTTAGAGTATTTCAGCTGTTGCAAGTAATGCCGTCATGAACACGTAGGCTCCTAATAAGCTTTATTTTCAGTTAATGCTTGCTTGCTTTCTTTCTTTCTTTCTTTCTTTCTTTCTTTCTTTCTTTCTTTCTTTCTTTCTTTCTTTCTTTCTTTCTTTTCTTTCATCACCGCGAGAACAGCAGTCACAAAGCCTTTCAGTTCAAGTCTTGGTGGTCATACAATGATCAAACACCCATCCTTTCACCAGTGCACATTTTCCACCACCAAGAACCCTAGTATACAACCTCCCCCCTCCCCGGCCTGTGCGCAGATTTCCACTTTACTCTCTCTACGTTGATCACATTCAATATTAGGACAAAAGACCCAACATAATGCTTTAGTTTTCTTCAGCTAAGTAAACACCCAGAATGGATGGGGCCTAGGGTATTTTTCTTCCTTCTTCCCGCCCTCCCTCCTTCCCTCACCCGCGGGCTTGCAATGGAAACACTGCATGGTTTTATATTTAAGGGAACCCCCACAGGCTAAGGATGTAACCAGAAATGTCCTATGTGGCCCTTCCATACAGTATTTACTTTTGGTTTGGGGACCACACCTGACTGCTCAGGGTTTACTCCTGGCTCTGCTCCTGGGTCACTCCTGGCAGGGCTGGGAAGATAATGGGTGCCAGGGATGAACCAGGGTCAGCTGTGTGCAGAGTAAGCACTTTACCCACTTATCACTCTGACCCCTCATTCGGTTGAGTTTTCTTTTCTTTTGTTTTTGCTATCTTTGCTTTTGGTGTCTTTCAAAATACTGCCACCACACTGTTGACTACTTGTTTACCACCAATGTTTCCATTCAAATATTCATTTTGAGTTAATTCTTGTGCTTGGTGTTACATAATGGCTCGGTTTCTTTCTTTTGCTGATTTTTAAGTAAACAAAAAAAAATTTTTGGAGGGGTTCCACAGCCAGTAATAACCAGGACTTACTCCTGACTTTGCAGTCAGAAATTAGTGCCGGCAGTGATCTGGGGACCATAAAGGGGGCTAGTTTGGCTGTGTGCAAGGCAAACACCCTACCTGCTGTACTACCACTCTGGCCCTAAGTAAAATTTTCTTTCTTTCTTTCTTTCTTTCTTTCTTTCTTT